AATATAGAGTTAGAAGTACCCTATCAAATTAATAGGCTATCAGATTGTTTTAAGAATAATCTTATTGATTATTCTACGTTGGTAGACCACTTAAATAGATTAATTGGTACTGAAAAGGCCAAATACTATTTAAATGTTATTAAAGAAAGTCCAGAAATTCCACAACTATCAAAAGAATTCAATTTAGAAACAATTTTAAAGAGAACGGATGAATTGTTAAATGAATATAATAAAATTAATAGTCAAATAATATCTCAAGAACAATTAATTGAAAATTATCATAAAAACAAATCAAGTAATAATAACGATAATAATAATAATAATTGTAAAAATAATATTAACAATAATCAAAATATATGTGAAGATCCTGAAAATCACCACTGCAATGAATCTTATATAAATAACTATACATCAAACCATATTAATAATACTGTAAATAAAAATAAAAATAATAATAATTTAAATAACAATAATAATAATAATAATAATCAAGATTTAAAAAAATGTAATTGTAAAGAATTATTTGGTAAAGATATATTTCCCTTCGATTTAATGGAATTTTTAAGCAAGCATGGTGACCATTCTTTGACAGATTATTGCACTGAATCTTGTATATATCTAATTGTTAAAAAGTATCAAGATGTTATTGAATATGCAAATAATAAAATATTTTTTTTAAGAGCCTTAAAACCAATGTCTCCATCTGGATATTTTAAAAGTGCAGATAATGTGGGTTTTATAGAATTTAATCAATACATGGAAAATCTTTTACATCCAATTAGTCCAATGCATAAAAAAGTTGAAGATGCCATTAAATTCAAGATACACAACAAAAAGCTTACTGTAAATAAGGACTCTGTTCAAAATATTCCATATGGTTTCTGGCTCCACAATAACAATATATTATATGAAATTACTAAAGATACTCCAATTAAATAATTTTAAAATTTTTATCCAACCAAATAAATAAAAAATTTAAATTCAAATATATTGTAAAAAGTGGGTTATCCAAATATTTTATTCTTAACTGTTTAACTAAAAAATTGTTAAACTTTAGCTTATTTAGGGAATAGATTCATTAGGATCTTAATTTATATAAAAAAAAAAAAAAAAAAAAAAAAAAAAAAAAAAAAATTTTTTTTTAATTAATAAAAAAAAAAAAAAAAAAACAATTTTTTATAAATTGTTTTTTATAATTCCAATTTTCAAAAAAAAAAAAAAAACCATTTAATATTTAAATAATAAATAATATTTAATTGTTTATTTCTTTCTTTTTATAAAATTATTATTTCTATTTTTAAAATGGAATAAATTATAATATTTTTTTTAATTTTTTATTTTTTTATTTTTTTTTTTTCAAAATTTTTTTTTTTTATTTTTTTTAATTTTTTTTTTTAATTTTTTTTGATTAACCTTTATCAATTTCATTAAATTTAATTTAGATATATTACACTTAATATATTAAACATTATTAACATGGCATCAGCAACAATTGAATCACAGCAACAAAACTTATCAGCATTACAAAGATTAGATAATAAAGTATTAGGCATTTTAGGAACATCAACACATGCAACTGCATACAGATTTGATGAAACATTAAAACAATGGGTATGCTTAATTTTATTTATTTATAAAACAAAACATATATAAAAATTAAATCTAAAAATTAATAATATTTATAATAATTTTTAGTCTAGAAAAGATATCGAAGGATCATTATTTGTTGTAAATAGATCAGAATTCCCATATTGTAAACTAATTATTATGAATAGGTTATCAACAAAGAATTTATGTGATGAAATTTACGAAAAAATGGTAATTAAATGCCAAGATACCTATTTAATTTATAGAAATAAAAATGAAGAAATTTGCGGAATTTGGTTTTATGAACCATCAGATCAAGAAAAAATATTTAATCTCTTAAAAGAAGTTCAAAAAAATCCACCATTACCACCACAACAACCACCACAACCACCACAACAACCACAACAGTCATTACCACCACATCAACAACAGCAATCAATGATCCCACCTCCAGGTTTTATGATGCACCAACATCCACAATATATGTCACCACATCCACCACATACCTATCAACCACCATACAATATGCAAATGGCTGCTCATCCATCTCAAAATTTTAGTAATAGTAATCCATCAACCCCAAATAAAGAAAACAATATTCAACCATCACCACCACAACAAATTAATAAAAACAATATAGAAATGGAAGAAAATATAATTACTCCAAATACACTTATGCAACAAACAAACTCGACCAAAACCTCACAACCAGTATCGCCATCAAACGGTAAAAAAGAAGTCCCATTATTATCAGTTTTAATGAATTCTGTAGTCATAAAAGAAAATACTGTAACAAAAGATCAAATTAGAGAAACATTAAAAAGATTAGCAAACGATGACAATTTTATTGATTTAGTTTATAATGCTTATATAAATGAATAAATTAATAAATAAATAAATAAATAAATAAATAAAAAAATATTTATAAAATGTTATTTTTATTATTATTATTAATTAGAAAGCGGACCGATTAAAATTGATTTAACCATTGTACCTTTTTCTAAATAACCTTCTTTTTGTGGTAATACCAATAATGCATTGGCTTGTTTTAAGCTTAATAAACGACAACTTGCTTGTGAACCAGTACTTTTTGAAACAAAGCAATGTTCATTAAAATCCCATTCAATATAACATCTGTGATACTCTGGTCTTTCAGGATCCATTTGAATACGATCTAAAAGTTTAACTTCGACTTGAGGTAAATTTGTATTTGAGAAACCTGAAATTCTACGGAGTGCTGGAACTACAAACAAGTAAAAGCATACAACCGAACTTACTGGATTTCCTGGCAACGAGAAGACTAGTGTTGTCTTTTCATCACTTGTAATAGTTGAAAAAGTTAAAGGTTTGCCTGGTTTCATATTAACTCTACCAAAATGTACTTTACCCATTTTTTCAAGTAATGGTTTAACCAAATCTAATTGACCCATTGATACACCCCCGCTAGTTATAATAATATCTGAATTTTTAGACTCTTCAACAAATGTAGATTCTAAATCTTCTAATTTATCTCCAACGATGCCAACCAAATTAATTTGATCTCTTGATGCACATTCACCAAAATGATTTGATATCTCTTTAATAATAGCTTCGAGTGTTGGTGTATTACTATCACGAATAATACCTGCCTCTAATTCTCCTTGTTTTTTATAATCTACCAATTCATCACCAGTTGAAATGATTGAAATTTTTGGTAAACCATAGCACTGTACTGTTTGAATACCAAGAGTAGCCAAAAGTCCAATTTCAGAACATCCCATTTTATCACCTTTTTTTAATACTACAGTACCTTGTGGAATATCGCTTCCAATTGGTCTTATATCTTGGCCGGGTCTAACTGAAACTTCGATTGATACTACATTTTCTTTAATAATTTCTGTTTCTTCAACCATTACTACTGCATCATAGATATCTGGAACCATTGCACCTGTTGTAATACGTACACAATGTTTTTCTTCATCATTTGTTTCTTTGCTATAATTTGAACCTCCTGCTACCGAATCACCCAAGAGTTTATAATGACCAATACCATCTTTTGATCTTACTGCATAGCCATCTTTAATGGATGCTCTAAATGTTGGGAATGGGTCTTTTGATGTAATATCTTCTGCAATAATTCTACCCAATGATTTTGCAATATCGACACTTTCAATTTTTAATTTTAAAAGATTAGATTGTTCCAATATAATATTAATTGCCTCTTCTACTGGTGTCATTACATATTTCGAACCTCTTTTACCAGATCCACCACATGAATGATGACCATGGCTATGACCGTGGCCGTGACTATGGCCATGACCATGACTATGACCGTGACCTTGTTGTTGTTCACCATCCATTGTCGAAGTAATTGATTGTGGATGAGGTTGTGCTTGTGGTGCAGTAATTAAATCTCTTGCCCTATGGGCATCAACTGAAGAAGAATAAGGATTTGAACAAATTAAACCAATAGCATGTGGAATTGCTGGTAAAACTACACCTAAATTTTCTCTAATTGCTTTGACACTACCTGGTAAGGTTATAATTAAAGTTTGATCACGAATACCTGCTACTGGTCTACTTAACATTGCATGAGATGTAATTTCTAAACTCTTTTTTAACATTGCTATTTCAATACCTTTGGTTCTACGATTTAATAATGGTTTGATAGCTTCAGGTGTAACGTCACGTGGTGTAAAACCTGTACCACCAGTTGTTAAAATTAATTTAAATTTTGAATGGGTCCATTGTGTAATCATCGATTGTATATGTTCAATTTCGTCTGGTACAACTTTATAAACTGTTTGAATTGTTATATTGCATGCCTCGCCCCCCATCATATGAATCAATTGATTTTTTATAATTGATACAATTTCTGGTCCTGATTGATCAATTGCTTGACCTTGACTAACACGATCTGAAGTTGTTAAAACTCCAACTACCCAAACATTATTATTATTATTAACTATATTTGTTTGTTGTGGTGAATTACCATTGCTATTATTATTATTTGACATTTTGTATAAATAAGTATTAATATTTAAACATATAATTATTTAGTTTAATGATATTAAAATTGAAAATAAAAAAAAAATAAAAATTGAAAAAAAATAAAAATAATAAATTAAAAAAAAATAAAAAATATATTAAAAAAAATCTGAAGGAAATAATTGTTTAAATTTTTATATTAATTATAATAATAATTTATTTTTACTTAAATTATAAAATAGATTGATTGAAATTTACTTTTTATATTTATTTATTATAAAATGAATATATTGGTTTTTTAGCAATTTTTTTTTTTTAATTTTTACAATTTGTGTTAGAATTATTTTTTAGTTTTAAAACAACCATAAAGTATAATTAATAAAAAAAATCATATAGAAAATACATACAAAAATGGGTAACTATAATTATATATTTTACTTAATAGTTTTTATAATATTTATTAACTTTTAAAATTTTATCTATAGATTTTTTTAATAATAGCGATGTAGTGAAAAATTGGGTGAACAAATATCTATCTTGTAATAGGTGCAGTATGAAATTCTTTACAACAGCTCCTCTATCATCAATTTCTGTAATGGTAGCTCTCTTCTTTATCGTAGCTTTAATCATTTTCATTTTAATGCTTGATAGTGTGTAATTCAAACTTCCCATGAAATCACTATAAATATAGTTTAAATAAATAAAATTATAATATTTAATTATCATTTTAAATTTAAATAAAACTATAATTATCTTTAATAATTTTAAAATATTTATTTCTTTATTCATTTATTTATATAATTTAGAAAATCAACAATTAATATTTAATGGGTTGATAATCTGACTGTGTTTATATTTATTTTTTAAATCATCTTACAGTATTTCATTTCCAACACGTTCATCACATTTATCTCTTTCTAATTTAGTTAAATCTCTAAACTTTATTTTTAAATTAAAATTTTCAAAAGTATTTGATAAAAAGAAATTGAATATAATTTAAAAGAAATTAATAATTTATTATTTGTACAATTTGTTTTTTAAAATAAGGTTTTTTGTGTTTGATTGGTTGCATTATTAATATTGTTGCTATTATTACTATTTAATTAATGAGCAGAGGTCTTTTGATAACCACTTTGAACATCTAATTTTGGTGCACTAGTTGCTTTATTAATTGAAATGGTTTCTAAATCAATTGATGGTTTTTCACCAGAAGTATTATAAATTTGTTGATTGACTACATCTAATTTTGGTGCTTTGAGAGCATTTGCAGTAACTAAATCGTTAACACCAGTGTTTGGTTTATCACCATCACCTCTGACTTGATTATTAACTGTGTCTAATTTTGGTGCTTTGAGAGCATTTGCAGTAACTAAATCACTAACACCAGTATTTGGTTTTTCACCTTCACCTCTAACTTGATTATTAACTGTATCTAATTTTGGTGCATCTAAAAATAAAAAAATATTAATATTTGTTATTTCAGCGCACCTCTATTCTATTTAAAATAAATACATACTAATTTGATTTTGTGTAGTTTTTGAATGAACACTAGCACCAACAACTTGTTCACCTTGATTTGAGAAACCATTAACTGGGTAATGGTTAGCACAATAAATTTCATCATTAATAGATTTGTATGAAGTAAGAGTTAATTGCCACTTTAGAAAATGAAAATAAAAATGAATTATTAACATAAAAAATAAATTTATTTATTTTTTTTTTTATTTATTTATTTATTCAACATACATTGCAAACCTTGCATTTAAAACATGATCTATGGAAACATTTTTTGACAGCTGTGAAACCTTCAACATTGTATACAGTTTTATTACAACGAGCACATTTACCAAGTGATGACATTTTTCTTTTTTTTTTTTAAAAATAAATAAATAAATAAATAAATAATTGACTTAAATGAATATATTTACAAAACAATAAAATAATAAAAATAATAAAAAATTTTATGATTGGAATTTTTTTAAAAATTAAAAAAAAAAAAAAAATAAAAATATCTATTTTTTTTTTTTTTTTCAAATAAATCAAAACACCCACTTTTTAACCGAATTTTATATTTTTAATTATGATTATAATAATATAAAAAATAATAATAGTTATTTAAAAATAACTATTATAGTTAATAAAATTTCTTCTAATAGTTGTAATCTTCAAATTGGTTAAAAAATGGGAATAAATACACCAAAAGTAATTTTTGATAATGAAATTTTTGTTTTTATATAATCTGCAAAAATAAATTCGATAATTATTATCAGTGACCAAATCATAAGATTTTTTTTTTTCTTTTTTTTTATATTTTTTCAAAATTTTTTTTTTCAAAATTTTTTTTAAAATTTTTTTAAAATATTTTTTTAATATATTTATAAATAATATAAATTAACTAATAAATATGGCCGAAGACGATAATAATAATATATTCTCTGTTAAAAACATTAAGCATTGCGAAGCTCAATCAAGTAAATTCTTTGCATCGTAAAGATCTAAAAAAAAAAAAAAAACTATTTGAAAAAACATTCACTAATCATTTTTTTGTATATATTCAGACTTGTAGCAAATAAAAATAATTTTAATAATAAAGAATCAAAAAAAGCATTTGAAGAATTAAGTGAATGTGTAGAAAAAGCCAACAACTTACCAGAAGAAGAAAATCATTTACCACAAGCAGTTCAAATGCTTCAATATTATTTCCCAAGAATTTTCACAACTGATTTACCAAGAGAAAGAACTTTTATTGCTGATGGTTTAGCTTGGTTAATGCCAAAAGTTTTTGACCCACAAGAAGACGACGATGAAGATGATAATTAAAACCACAAATAATCAGTAATTATCAATAATCAATTAATTCAAAAGTAATAATAATAATAATCATCATTTAGGTTAATGGTAAATTAATATAGTTGTATAATAAATAAATAAAAATATTTTAAATAAATGGAATAGAGTAATAAATAATCTCTATTTTATTTTTATTGTTTTTTAAATAAGCGAATTATTGCTAGTAACAAGTTTCTTTTTATTTTTTTTAGAAAAATAAAGTTGATTTAGCGAGAATACAATTAGGCTGAATGTTGTTGCTATAGCAGTAAATCTAAATAAATACATTGGTGATTTATGTTCATATAAAAATCCGCCTATAATCGAACCTAAACCTGCACCCAACCCTACAAACATACCAGCAAAAATACCTTGATATGTAGTTTCATATCCTTTGGGTGCCATTTGATTTGATAGCTCTACACCTGCAGTCCTATTTGAAATAAAAAAAAAAAGAGTTAATATTTTTAAAACATATTTTTAAATTTAATTTATATATATAAACTTTATAGTTTCTTACCATATTGTTGCAAATGCAATACCATGTAAAATTTCAATTGGTAGGACAAACCATGGCGATACTGATTCGATTGCTAAAATATTATATAAACATAAACGAAGGATAAATGCACAGTGACCAATAATAATCAACTTGTTTACACCGACTACTGTTAAAAGTTGTTTACCAAAAAAGAAAAACGGCAACTCCATGACTACTGTAAATGGCATAGTACTACCTAGAAGCATTGAGCTGGCATGTTTAACATCTTGAAGGAAGAGGAATAAGAAATTACCAATGATATTTGCTGTCATACCACAAATCATTGTTGCAAATAAAAAGATCATCATGTGGGCATCTTTTAAAATATTTAAATAGACTTGCTTTGTTCTTAATCTTTCTTGTGGTATATGTTCACCACCATTTGCCTGCATTGGAATTGATGCTAAATCCTCATAGTCTCCTTCTTTTTCAATTAAATTATCTTTTACATCATTGATTTCTTCCGGTTGATCTTTGGCCTTTACTACTAACGTTGGTGAATCTATATCATTTTGTGTACATCCAGAATCATTTTCATTATTATTTATATCATTGATATTATTATTATTATTATTATTTATTTCTACTTCCTCTTCTTCTAGTAATTTTTTAAAGTTTGATAAATTTACACCTGATTTTTTAATTTTTGATGCAATATTGGTTTGATTATATATAAAATAAATTAAAAAGATTACCATCCAAAAAGTATATGATACAAATAAAAAGTTAATTGAATGTTTTTCAATGACAATACCAGTAGCAAAAGCGGCAAGACCATAACTAATAGCAGCAAACAATCTTTGCATTCCATATAATTTTGAATCTTCTCCCATCTCTTTTAAGACAAAGCCATCAATAAGTGGTGTAATTGGAGCTGAACTTATACTATACAAACTGATCAAAGCAAATATACCAAAAAGATTGTCATTGGTGGGTATTAATAGGAGCAATGCAACAGATGCCACTAAACAATTAAAAACCAAAACTCTTTTTTGAACATTATGTTTATCTGCAATACCAGTCCATATTGGTGCTGATACAAATGATAAAAACGGGATGATGCATGTAATAATACCAATAACTGATGGTTTAATAGTTTTAAAGCTATGCAAATAAACACTAATAAATGGTTGAATACATGCTAATGCTGCGCTACTAAGAAAATATATAACTTTTAAATTTGGGTATTTTTTAAAATTTTCTAATGTATCTTTCATCTAAATTAGTAATAATTATTAATTAGTTTTTTAACAAATAAATTTAAATATTTAGAATTAAATTAATACTTACGTTTTATAAAGAATATAGATACATTAAAAAAATATATATTTTTTTAATCTATAATATTTGTTATTTGTTGCTTGTTTTAAAAAAAATCATTGTTTTTTTATATGAATGGTTTAAATTTGATGGGTGCTACGTGTTTTGTAAAAAAAAAAAAGTAAAAATTTTTTTTAATTTAATTTTATTTTTTTATTTTATTTTTTTTTTGTTTAAACCCCGAAATAACAACATCCTATAATTTTATAAACTCTAAAAATAATATTGACATAATATTCTCATTATAATTAATATTAAAATTTTATCTATATAAATAAATAAAAAAAATAAAATATTTTTTAGGGGGAAGTATAAAAAAAATGGGTGGTTTATTTTTTTATTATTTTTTTTTTTATGTTTATAAAAGTATAAACACAAAATATAAACGTCATATATAAATATATAATATGTCAACAATTCACAAATTTAACCCTATTTTTGTTTCTCATGACACACCAAGAACAATAATATTAAATGAATATTCAACAAGAATGTTTTTTGAAAATTTCTCAAAGAACATATTTGATGGAATTAAACCAAAAGCAATTTTAGTTATAAGTGTAAGTATTAATTTTTTTTTATGTAAAGAAAAATAACCATTAAAAATTTTTATTTTTTATTTTTGGTAATATTAATAATTAACTTTAGGCACATTGGGAAGAAAATGATTTTACTATTCAAACAACAAAAGACCCAAAAGTAATTTATGATTTTTATAATTTCCCAGATGAAATGTATAAATTTGAATATCCAGCTAAAACATGTCCTCAATTAATAAACAGAGTAATAGAATTATTTAAAGATGCGGATATAGAGTTAAAAAGGGATTGTAAAAGAGGTTATGATCATGGTGCATGGACTGTAAATAAATTAATATATCCAGAAGCAGATGTGCCTATGGTTCAAATATCTTTAAAATCAAATTTAAACCCAACAGAGCATTACCAAATAGGCAAAGCTCTTAAACCATTGGTAGATGAAGGTTATTTAGTTATGGGTAGTGGTGGAACAGTGCACAATTTAGAAGCATCAAAAGATCTATCGAATCACCATGATAGAGCTTGGGCGATTGATTTTGAAGAATGGGTACACAACACACTAACAACTAAAACTGGTAAAGAAAGAGAGGATGAGTTTCTTAAATTTGAATCACTACCAAATTCAAATAAAGCACATCCCACCTACGATCATTTTATTCCGCTATTTGTTATTCTAGGTTGTGCCAAAGATCACTCAGTGTGTAAACGTATCCATTGCCATTGGAGAAATCCTGTTTTTTGTGCTTCAAGTTACTCTTTTGAATAATAAATAAAAATAACTATATTTAAAAAAACCTTTATTTTATAATACAATTGAAGCTATAATACATATGTGTTTGGAAGTTTAATTTAATGTTTATACTTTATCTGATAACTTTTTTTCATTGGTTGATAGTTCTAAAAATTTTGATTTTAAAATTTCTTCATCCTTTGATTCTTTTAATTTGTTGAGTTTATTTTGCAACTCTTTTTGTTTATTGCTATAATATTCTATTTTTTCCGAAATGTGGTCCTATTATAAAAACAAGTTGGTTATATTAATATTTTTATAAACAAATAATGATCATTATAAGTATATATTAATGATTTTTACATTATTACTCTGATCACTAGAACAGGATAATACACTATTGATTTGAGATTCGATATTTAAGTTTTTATTTTTAAGTTCTTTTAATTCGTATTCTGCTTGTTGTTTTTGTTGAATTCTTTTTTCTTGCTATTATAAAAAAATAAAAATTAGTAAATTGGCAATTTTTAAAATTTTTATTGAAAAATCGATGATATCCTACAATCTCTAATAACTTTGCCTTTAAACTTTCTATTTTTTCATTTTGTTCATTTAAAATTTCTTTTTCTTTATCTAATTTCTAAAATTAAAAAAAGTGGGTGAATATATTTTTAAAAATTGTGTAAAAATATATTTTTTTTTTTAAAATAATTACTTTATTTTCAAGTTCTTTTTCTTCTTTTATTAACAATAATAATTTGTTTAATTTTTTTTCCTTTTCAGAATTTATAGTTGTTATATCTTTTCCTTCAATTGGGATCATTATTATTAAATTTTTTGATTAAATATTTTTTTTTTTTTTTTTATTTTTAATTTTAAAAAAAAAATTTTAAAAAAATTTTATTTTTTTTTTATTTTTATTTTTATTTTTTTTAAAAACGAAAAATTAAAAAAAAAAAAAAAAACGAAATACTTTAATCTTTTTTTTATAAAAATAATAATAATAAAAACCACATTATTTATATATTAAATAATTAAAACTATATAGTATAAAAAATGGGTAAAGATATTAAAAAAGGTGGTAAACCAAGACACGACCCATTAGGCAAACAAATTAGAGATTCAGAAACAGCACATTTAAAACCAAAAAATAGAGTAGGCAGATTAAAAGGTAAAAAGGGATTAGAAGATACAGATACAGGTTTTGATGAAACTGAAAAAGTAATTCCACAAGCTCTTTCAAGTAAAATTCTTTCAGCTATTAAAGAACAAGCAACAGAAGTTGAAGCAGAAGAAAGAGAAAAACAAAAAGGTGATCAACTTTTAACCTTTGAACAAGAAAGAATCCAAAATAAATTATTTAATTTCAATGACTTTGTAGATGATGAAGAAGAAGAAGCCCTTGATGGTAAAAAAAAATTCAATGATAATCAAGAATTTGACGAAGAAGATGGTTTCGAACAATTATCTGATACTGAAAGTCAATTTGGTATGGGTGGTGAAGTAGAAATCGATGAAGAAGATGAAAGAGTACTCCAAATGTTTATGGGTGGTGAACAACAACAATTCCAAACTCGTTTCACTTTAGGTGATATTATTGAGCAAAAACTTAGAGAACAAGAAACTAGAGAAACTACTGATCAAAATAAATTAAATCCAAAAGCTATTGACGTTTATACAAAGTAAGTTTAATTTTATACCATTCTTTTTGGTTCTATATAAATCAATATTAATTAATATTTTTTACAATTATTATTAGGGTTGGTAAATATTTAGAAACATATACATCAGGTAAAGTTCCAAGAGCTTTTAGAATTTTACCAAATTTTATAAATTGGGAAGATTTATTATATTTAACTCGTCCAGATAAATGGACACCACATGCAATTAGAGTTGCAACTAAATTATTTTGTATGGGTACCAACACTAAAATTACACAAAGATTTTTATCAATTGTAGTTTTACCAAGAGTCAGAGACAATATTGCAGAATATAAAAAATTAAATGTTCATCTTTACATGGCATTAAAGAAATCATTATACAGACCAGCAGCATTTTATAAAGCAATCCTTTTACCATTAGCAGAAAGTGGTGATTGCACCCTTTTAGAAGCCAAAATTATTGGTAGTATTATTTGTAAAGTCTCAATTCCAGTTCTTCACTCAAGTGTAGCTCTTATGAAGTTATCTCAATTGGTAGATTATAATGGTGCAACCTCAATGTTTATTAGAATTTTATGTGATAAAAAATATGCTCTTCCATACCGTGTTGTAGATTCCCTTATTGAACATTTTGTTGGTTTTGAAGAAGAGACCCGTGAACTCCCAGTCCTTTGGCATCGTGCTCTTCTCAGTTTAGTTCAACGTTATAAAACTGATATTACCAGAGATCAAAAAGAACAATTAAAAATCCTTTTACGTAAACATACTCATCATATCATCACACACGAAATTCGTCGTGAACTTTTTTCATCAAATTCAAGAGGTGGTGTTTTACCTTCATTTGACGATACATCATCAATGATGGAATAAATAATTAAAATAATAAAATAAATAAATAAAAAAAAATTTAATATAAAAATTAAAAAATATATAATTTCAACAATTTCTTTTTTTTTTTTTAAATGACTTTAATAAAAAATACCAATTAGGATTATTTTTATTGTATAAATTATCATTATTAATATTATTGTATATATAAAAAAAATAATATTAATTCTTTTTTTTTTAATTATGGTAATATACCATTATACCATGATTGATATTTATCATAATAACGTGTTTTGAAATGATCTAAGCTGTATGAAATTAAATTTTCGACTAAAGTTGAGCATTCACGTTCATTTACATCCAAAAAGAAACGTGCTTTTAATTGGTCAATAACTTCTTTACCACCTACAAAACATGACATTTTTGGACCTGACATCATTATTTCGATTAATGATAGGATTTTACCAACTTGTTTTCTTGCTTCTATAAGACCACGTACACATAATACTTTGAAATATTGAAATTGACCAGAGGTTGCCCCACCCATTACATCAACTAACTCTTGTGTTAATTTAAATGGTGCTGATTCGAATGAGATGTTTCCTGGACTATTTGAGAGTATGTAACCAAAGTCAATGTGCACAATATGACCTTCCTTATCTATTAAAATATTGCCATTGTGACGATCTTTAATTTGCAAAATATAAGTTACTATTGAATATGCTGCCATAGATTCGATAAAGTTGGATTGTGCTGTTCGAAATTCGTGTGAACTTGGTTCTCCATAGGTGTTCTTAAAATGGTTTAGTAGTGTTGTAAAGTTTGGTGTGTTCTTTTTAAGATTGTGTAAACTAATTGTATCTGGAATGGTTTCAATGATACCACCGCTGCTACTTGTTACAAGGATATTGTATGGTCTTAAATAGAGTGGTAGTTTGCTTTCTTTCCAAATTTCATCAAACTTTCTAATTAATTGCACTGCCATTTGTTCCTGTCTACAATCATCACCAGTTTTAACGATAACAGAGCAAAGCTTCCAATTTGCAAAGTGACCATATGGTGAAATTCTACGATATCTTTCTGTTTTTTCTGCCCATGATTCACCAAATGGTGATGATAATGATCTGCTTGTGTCATTTATTATTTTTTCGACTAATGGTGATGATAATGGTGATGTTGAAAGAGGTACACCGCCACCAGTACCAATTGGTGGCTGTTGTAATGATGATGTCGATGATGATATTATTGTATTACTGCTACTATTAATTGAGTTAGCAGGTGAAATTGGTAATGATTTGCTTTGTTGTTGTTGTTGAGTTGAGGTGGTTGTAATTGTTGGTGCGGCCGCTGTTGTTGTTGAACCATTTGTAATGGTTTCAGATGAGGAGTTTAAAATGTTTTTCTTTAAATATGAAAAATATTTTCTTTTCATTTCGTTCATTTTTAATAAATTATCGTTTGTTGTAGTGTATTGAAGATATGATGAAACTACTTCAAAAATATTACTTGATAAAGCTTCTTGATCACTTTCAATAATCTCCAAAACTAATAAAAATGGTACCCTATCTCTTGAATTTAAAATTTTAACTTCTTCAGGTGGGATTCTTACTACACAATGATGTTTTGAATTTTGCCAAAGTGGAACGTATAAACCCAATGGTAAGTTAATGTTTAATAGACTAATTTCATGTTTTAACTTTGCCTCTATAAATTTGTAAAATAAAATATTAATAAATATATACTATAAAGATAAATTTTAAAAAAGGGGGGTGTATATTGTTTACTTACGTCTTATATCAACTGGTATTGGTAATAGTATTTTAGAAATACGTGCCATCTTTTGAATGAATGATAAAATATCATTTAAATAGTCACATCTATAGCTTTTTGATAATTCGAATTCAAAATCCTGATCAGATAGTTTTGATTCTACTGGAGGAGTTTTACACTTTTCTAAATATGAGATTTCATCTTCACTTAATGATCCGCCATTGGTATCGTTTATATTGTTGTTATTATCTGGACCATTCAATTGACTATCATCTTGTTCACTTATTAAAGTTTTTTCTATATTGTTACTATTATTGGATGGTGATGATTTATTATTTGATTTATTAATTGTATTAAAATTAATAACTGGTGAAGGTAATGATGAGGTTCTAGGTCTTGTAATTAGTGGTCTTGAACATGTAATTACAGACATCTCACAAAACTCTCTTAATCTAGTTGCTAATTCCTTTTTGGCTTCAATTTTGTTGTAAATTTTTCTGTTTCTTTTCAAGATTTGGGTAATATTTTCTATGGGGTCGTTTGGTTGTGATATATATGGGTGACTAACACCATCAATAGTTGATAGGGCGGGTGCATAGTTGTGGTTATTGACATTTGATGTTGGCTCTGTATTATCTGGTATATTTTCATTTGGTGTTGGTTGTTGTGATTGTTGTTGCTGTGGTTGTTGTGGTTGTTGCTCTTGTTGGGGTTTATTCGCTATGTTATGGAATTCATTAACTATATCTTCGCTATTTTTCCCATTTTCAGTTTTATTATTATTTTCACTATTATTATTACTATTATTGTTATTTTTATCTTGAGATTCCTCTTCATCAGTATGATCTTCACTATCACCATTATTAGCATTGATTTTCTTATTATTTATACTATCATTATTTTCATCATTACTGCTGTCATCTATAAACTCTTCTTCATCATATTGATTTTGGTTATATATTTTATCTAAATCTATTGGAGTAGTTTGATCATTACTGTACATAGGCACATCTTTTGGAGATGCTGAGGGAGATTGGAGATAAACACTATTTTCTATACTAAATAAATTCTTTTCACCATCTTCTTCGAATGCTTGAAATATCCAATAGGCCTTAATTGCAAATCTAATTGAGTTGGCACATCTATCCAAAACAAATCTTGCTAATGATGAAAATGATGCTTTTTGTTCATATGGTTGATTAATTAATAATATACTTTTGTAAAAAAATACTATTAATAAATTAAAAAAAATATTGAAATTTTTAAAAATTATAATATTTACCAAAGCTGAGTAATATAAAAATCGATATCTTTATCTTCTAAACTATATAGCTTATTACATAAAAAATCGATTATACCTGGATTATCTCTATACTTGTATAAATGACTAACAGCCATCCACGAATCAAAATTTCCTGAATATTGCTTAACTATTGAATCCATATCCTTTTCTTTTAATTTTTTATTTTTTTTAATTCTTTTTTTATTTGGACTTTTATCTTCTGCAGTTTCATTATTATTATTATTATTATTGTTTTTATTGTTTTCAATATTACCACTATTAATATTATTACTGTTATTACTGTCACCGCCTAATACCGATGAATTAGAAATTGTGGTGACAGTATCATCATTTAAAGTATTCATTATGATTATAATAGAAATTATAATTATTATAAATTTATAGATATAAATATTATATATAAAATTGTTTTACTATTTCTTGTTTTTTTTTTTTTGTGTGTTTGTTTTTATTAATTTTTTTTTTTTTAAAATAAAAATTATTTTTTATTAATTTAAAAAAAAAAAAAAAAAAAAAAAATAAAAAATTCAATTTTTTTTTATTTTAAAAACCATTCATATTTTCGATCCCAACCAATCTCGGCATCTTTCATCAAATTTTATTTTCCCCTTCAAATCCACAGTTTAATTTTATAGGAGAGTTGTAATATGTGTAAAAGCTATCACTACTAATATAATATACTAAACGATGTAGAGGAAGTTAGTACAATTTATAAAGATTTTTCTGAATTAGATAACTATACTCTAACATTTCCACAAGATTCAAATGGTAAACAAAGAATGTTTGTTGCATGCACAATTTTTATTGATTTAATTTTATATAGTTCTGGAAGTAAAGATAAATCATCTTTTGCAAATTTACAATAAACTGTTTTCCGTTTCTCTAATTTAAGTTTTATTTAAATTTAAATTGAAGAAAAAAAAATATTAAAAATGAATAATAATAATAATAATAAAAAATTAAAATTAAAAAAAAATAAATATAAATAAAATGAAAAAGACATTTAATAGTAAAGAAATTGTTAAATCACTTTTTAAAATTTCTAATTTTCTATTTTTATTTTTTTATTATAATTGTTTTAAATTTATATTATAATTATTTAATTTGGTTTATAGAAATATTGATTGATTCTAATTGTGCCTAGATCTTTTTTACCAGTATTAATGGAGGGCGAGGTTTTCCATAATCCTTGATTGCTCCAATAGTTGATTTAAATCTATAAATTGTTGCTGTAGTTGTTTTGATTATGGTGAATGAACATTAAAGTTTAGTGGACTTCTAGAAGTGGTGAGTTTTGATATTCCCTAATTTGGTCAATAATTACGAAAGCTTCAGTGTTTTTACCTTCTCTTCCTAAAATTATTTTATTTCTATCATAATTGCTTGGCCAGAGCGAATTAATGATATTCATAAAATAGTTGATTAGGTTGATTGGCATCATTAGTGTTGACTTGATATAAATATTTGATGACAGGCTTTGAATTGCGACCACATATACTAAAAATACAACAGATATTACACAACTTGACACAGTAGGTCCCAAATTGTTTGATGAGTTCGGAATATATACCACTTGATACCATTTTATCAAAAACAGAGCTTGATGAAACATGATTCTACACTATTGGATACAATAGACTCTACAGCTTGATGAGGCAGATTCGTTACTTCTACCTTTGATAAACAAATAATTCACTATCTGGTGTAAAAGATTCTTAAGCACTACTTGATACAATGGGTTTCACACTTGATGCAACTGATTCTAAGCTACTGTACCAATATATCATACACTTCTCGAATCAGGCTCTGTTTTATTACCACTTATTGAAATAGGTTACCATACTTGATTTACACTAAATATAATAAAATTTAATTTGTGTTAGTATTGTGTTCATCTACGAATCCCATTTTTATATAGATTTTTTGTTTTAAAATAATGTGCTTATTTACTTACTTGAAGGCTTTTTAAATCTATTATTATTGACCTAGGACCATTTTTTTGAAATATTTATGCATTTATTGTGTGATGCAAAAAATAAAATGAAGAAATATAAAATTTTTTTTATTTAAAAAAAAATATTAAAAAAATCAAAAAAATAAAATTTTTTTAAAATTTAAAAAAAAGCAAGCTCGCGAGATTATTGGCTAAATAAATCGACTATACTGCAGTGATTATATATTACAACCTTGACAATAAATAAAATAAAATAAAAAGATTATTAATATATATATTTTAATATTAAATAAAAATATTAATAAATATAACATACCTAAGTTATTGAGCTACTACTTAAAATATTACTTGGACCACCATTTGACCAATTACTTTTACTATTTGAACTACTACTTAAAATATTATTTGACCCACCAATTGAACCACCAATTGAACTGCTATTTGACTACCAACTGACCGATTATTTTAACCAACGTTAGAATTGAGATGAAAGATACCACATGGACCACTACTTGACCGGTTACTTTAAACCAACTTTTAAATTACGATGAAAAACCACTTGAACCACTACTTGGCTGATCACTTGAACCACACTTGATCGATTACTTGAACCACCATTTGAATTACGATAAAAATTATCACTAGAACCACACTTGACCGGTTATTTGAACCAAAACTTGAATTGTGATGTGAACTACCACTTGAACCACCACTTAACCGATTACATGAAAAATTTGAACCACCGTTTGAACCACACTTGATCTATTAGTTGAACCACCATTGGGACCTTAAATTAAATTTGCTATAGGTTTTTTGATACGTTTGGGCGATTGTTTTTCAGATGCTGCTTATATTTTTCCTGATGACTAATGATGGTTATTAGTATATGTTTAAAATTAATTTTTAAAAATAATATTATTTTACATACCATTTTCTGTCTATAAATTATTGTTTAGGTGTACTAATACCGAAATTTATAAGACCAATGTCAAAACATGCTGTGAAGAAAGCGAAATCTATTGTATTAAAAAAATAAATTAATAATTTATAAAAAAACTATAAAAAAATAAAAAAAATAGAAAATATAATTATTTACCTTTAATGTTTTTAAATGTACCTCGAATTACTTTATATTGGACCAATAACTTTTAATTATAAAACTTGGCGTAAGGAACCATAGTGTTGTTCTGCATGGTGAGACAAAATAATAGCTCTAGAGTTTTCAATTGAACGTGGAGTGATTTCAATGAAAAAGCTGCTGTTAGACTCAACGGATGAGATAACGGTAATTTGAGATTTGAAAATCTCAGCAGCGGCGAGTAATGTTAAGTGGTCTCCCCATGTACCCCTTCTTGCCATTTGGTTACAGTACTTATACCAGCTGGTGGCATTGGCAAATTCGTATATTTTGGCACCATTTGGAAGGGTTAAATTTTTGTTTTTCATGAGCCATGTAACAATAGCTCTTCTAATTTCCATACTATGGTTTAAATCGCCATAAATTTGGTCAGATAAGGCATGCATCTGACAATTGCCATCACCTGGGATGACTGTACGGTTCTCTAAACCGTAGAGCTCCAAACGTTCATTTAAACGTTTTATAGCTTTATCTTGTGGTGGTGGTTGAGGAGTATTGACTGTCCCTGAGTCAATATCCATAGATCCATAAAATTGATTTTTATTATCAATAATATGTGTGGTTGTGTTTGATTGTGGTTGTGGTTCTTCTTGTTGTAGCTTTTCATATGCATCCATAGCTCTAAATAATTTTTTATAATCAGGTATTGATGCAGTATGTTTTGGTTGTGGTTGTGGTGATTGTGGTTGTTGGAGTGGGATTGGTTGTGATTGCTGGAGTGGGATTGGTTGTGGTTTCTGGAGTGGGAGTGGTTGTGGTTTCTGGAGTGGTTGTGGTTGATGGAGTGGGAGTGGTTGCTGGAGTGGGAGTGGTTGATGGAGTGGGAGTGGTTGTGATTGTTGGTTTTGTTGTGGTTGTGGTTCTGGAACTTCTGGTGTATTTTGTTGTGGTGGGTTATTTTTTTTATGGAATTCCTTATAAAATTCGTCGTCGTAGAAAAAGTCCTCGACGTTTTCGGTTCCATCTGGGTAGTAGCATTTGGTGGTGTTATTTCTGGTTTTTCTAAAAAACCAATAAAAAATGAACAAAGCAATAAAACAAATTACAATAGTATACATTTTTTATTAATTTGCAAAATGAAAATACTATTTAAAAATCTAAATAAAAATAAATAACTGTTATTATATTTTTAAGGATGTGGATATATAAAAAATAATTTATTTAAAAATTTTTTTTTTTTTTTTAATATAATATACAAATAAAATATATAAATAATTATTTCCAAAATAACAAAAAATAACAAATAATATAATAAAATAATTTACAAAGAATATATTTTTTTTTTTTTTAAATATAATTTACAAATAAAATATAATTACTTACAAATAAAAAATAATGTAATAAAATAATGATTATGCTATGAGTGAAGTTGTATATAAAAAAATAGTGTGTGGTTATTAAAGCTATTATTTTTAATAAAAAAAAAAAAAAAAAATTTTTAATATAATTTAAAAAAATATAAAAAAATTAAAAAAATATAATAAATTAAAAAAACAATATATTAAATAAAAAAAAATTATAAACTACGAACTTAATTTTAATACAGATTACCATATAATCAACTAAAATAATAAAACTTTTATCTTTATAAATAAATTATTTCAAATTTTAAATAAAAAACATTTTCCCAATTAAAGGCGGTGCTATCTGGTTTTACAATATTCAGATAAAAATTCATCAACACTTTTTAACAAAAAGAGTATTCAGATGAATTTAATTTTTATTATTGATAGAATCACATAATATATAAAATAAATAATAAATATAATAATAATTAATATTAATAATTATATAATAAAACAAGTATAATATTTATTTAAATATGGATAATTTAGAAAGATTAAGATTTTTAAATGGCCTATAAAATAGATTAAGCAGATTTCAATCGCCAAATCCAGATTAGCAACTACATTCAATACTTTAAATCAAACGAAATGGGGAATTGAACCACACTAATCTAAACAGTTTTTTCAATAATATTAATAACTATAATATAAAATTAGAAAAATATTATATAATTCTTTAAATTAGAAATCATATACTTAAAGTATTTAATTACATAAATAAAAAATAAAAAACAATAATTTTTAAAATAAAAAAATGATTTATTTTTATATATTCTTTTATTTTTTTTACCTCTTTTCTTTTCTTTCATTTTTTGTGAAACTATTCCTTTACTATTTTTTATTTTCATTTAATTCATTTTCTTATTAATTATAAATTTTAAAATTAGTTTTTAAAAGTATAGTTATAATGTTGATTATTATTTCATACTCTTAACAAATAAAATAAAAAGAAAAAAATTTTGATTAAACTTTTTTTTTATTCTTTAATAAAATTTAAAAAGGAGTTTACTTTATTAAAATTATATTTATAATTAAAGATGGATTACTTATAGTTATTATTATTATTGTTATTATGGTTATTATTATTATTATTATTATTATTATTATTATTATTATTATTATTATTATTATTGTAATTATTTAATTTTCCACCCTCTACTGTTTTGGCAGAAACAAATTTCATTCTTCTTTCGCCACCATCTCTATTATAACTATTGTTATGGTTTTGATTGTAATGGCCATTACCCCTGTTATGTTGGTTGTTGATTTAATGTTATATAGTTCTGGAAGTAAAGATAAAATCATCTTTTGCAAATTTACAATAATCTGTATACTGTATATATTCACTGTTTTATTTCCGTTTCTCTAAATTAAGTTTTATTTAAATTGAAGAAAAAAAAATATTAAAAATGAATAATAATAATAAAAAAATGTAAAAAACAGAAATAAAATTAAAAATCATAAAAATTTTATTAAAAAAAATATTTTATTTATTTTATTTAAAAATTAATTTAAATAATAAAATTGATTATTTGAAGCAGTTACTATAAAGATATAAAAAAAAAAAATTATTAGGATGATAATTTTTTTTTAAAAACTTTGTGTTTAAAACATATACAAAAGATGTTTTAGTGTTCCATCCATTCAACATCAAATAGAAAACCTGGTCGAAATGGTACTATATTAAAAAAAAAAATATTAAAATGATGATAATTTATTTTAATAAAAAATATTATATTTAATACATACAAAAATATTTAATTTGTGATGTTTGGGCTTTGAGTTAATAGAATACCTTGTCGGAAAGGAACATGTAAATTCTTAAAAACCTTGTCTGAACGAAACATGTAGATTCTTAAGAACCTAGTAAGAATGGAACATGTAAAGAGATTTGTTGAAGCTTTAGATTTCTAGATTTTCTATTATAAACTGAATTAATATTTTTTAATTACAACTCTGAAATTTTACCATTTAACTAATATTTGAATGTAAGTTTTTATTAGATTAAATATTACATTAATTTAATCTAATAAAATTTATTTAGATTTATTATTCTAATACTTACCTTATTTCTTAAGTAAGAAGTAATTTCTTTCTTTTGTAAGTCACCTATTACCCATCTTATCTTATTACCCATCTCATAAACTACAAAATCACCTTTACATCACAATATGCAAAAGGCAATCACCTTTTCAAACTATTAATCAAGATAATATCAATTTAAATTATCATAGTCTAATTAATAATAATATCAATTTACACTAGTCAATAGTTATAATGACCAATTATAATAATTAAATTAATATTTAATAATTTAAAAGTATTAATAGTTCAATTTAATTATCATCATTAATAATAATATCAAGATACACTAGTCATTAATCATAATCACCAATTATAATAATTAATATATAACAATTTAAAAGTATAAATAGTTCGAGTTAAATTATTATCAATAATAAGTTAAAAAAATTGAAAATAAGTAATTAAATTCCTCCATCATCACCGTTTGCCCCTCATCATCAGCATCACCATTATCATCAGCATTCATCTTGGTCCCCATCATCATCAGCATTCATCTTGCCCATCATCATATAATGATATAATTTAGTATCTAATTTTTTTAAAATTGATAAAATAGTATTGAATAAATTTGGTAATGATATGCTAAATTGTGTTTTTGAATAAATTTGTTCCAAAAAACGATAAAAGATAACGATAATTTTTAATCACTAATAAAAATTAAACTATTTTTTTTTTTTAAATTTAAATTATTATATTTTATTTTAATCTTTTCTATTTTCTAAAATTTCTAAAATTTTCTTTAGAGATTGATTAGCATTTTCAATAATGGCATTAGCTTCAGCAGTTGTTGATTCAACATATTTTGGATCTTTGCAATCTTTTAAGTTAATAGTGACATTACGATAAGCACCCCAAATACCAGTTTCTAAAGATTTAGCACCAACTTCTAAATCACTCTTTGAAGCGATATTACCATGATGAGCCATTTTAATCATTGGTTCCCAACAACGACTTGCGATTTTCATAGTTGATAATGGAACATTAATAGCTTGTTTTAAAGCTTTGTCCATAGCTTCGTCTCTAACTGGACCCTTTGGTAAACCCATAGCTTTAATGTAATCGTTGAAAGCATTTGTATCGGCATCAATATATGGAATAAGATCTCTCATGGCTTTGTCAAGTGGTGGAATTAATTCTCTCATAACTGAATCAAGAGCTTCAAATTTCTTTTTACCAAATGTCATCCAACCAGTCATAGCACCTAAACCAGCACCCATAGCGGCAATAACAGCTGAGGCAGAGCCACCACCTGGAGCTGGGGTTCTACTACCTAAAATTTCAATGAAACCTTTGAGGGTCATTGAAGCTAATGGTTGAGTAACAGCAAGATCTTCTTGTACCATATAGTCAATAATTCTTTTCTTTGGGTCAAAGTAAGAGCATGAGGATAAACCTAATCTTTCGATGGCTAGACGAACTTTTAATGATTCATCAATGATGAATAAGTTTTCTTTTTGGATATAGTAGTCAGCGGCCATCAAAATAGCTTCTAATGGAACAAGACCAACGATTTCGGAACCAGCAACACCAAGGTTAAGTTCACGGGCATCTTTTGAACACTCTTCAAAGACCATGTGTGGTGGTGTAACAAGATAGTTATCAAGATTCATTGAAACTTGTGCCATTTTATATTCATCGACATACCATCCAATACCCTTTAAGAATTTTAATCTTCCTGGTTCATTGTCACTTCTACCAGCTTCACGTACGTTTAATGCAATACGATGGGCTTGTTCTTTTGTTCCTAAAATATTAACATTGTATGCAATTAAAAATGAACGTGCACCAGTAACTGATGCACCATAGGATGGAACAAATTTGGCTGGTCCAAAATCTGGTGCCCATTTTGGATCTTTTAATTTTTCTTCTAATCCTTCATATTCACCTGATCTAATTTGTTTTAATTGTTTACGATATGCTTGAGTTGATGCTTCTTCATATAAAAAGATTGGAACACCAATTTCTTCTGAAATTCTTTTACCAAATTCCTTGGCACAATTAACACAATCTTCCATTGTTGCATTTCTAATTGGTACAAATGGACAAACATCTATTTTAAATATAAATTTATTAATTGTTAATATTTATTGATTTTTTTTTTTTTTTTTTTTTTTTTTTTTTGATTTTTTTTTAATTTTTTTTTAAAGATTTAATTAAAATAAAACATACCTAAAGCACCCATTCTTGGATGTTCACCATGATGTTTGGTCATATCAATAAGTTTAAATGCAGTTTTAGCAGCATTTACAGCACCATCAACAATTGATTTTGGACAACCTACAAAGGTATATACAGTACGATTAGTTGATTTACCTGGATCAACATCTAATAAAGTGCAACCTGGTGTATCTCTAATTGATTTTGAAATAGCATCAATAATTGATTGATCTCTACCTTCTGAAAAATTTGGTACACATTCTACTAATGCATCTACAGCCATTTTATTTTAATATTAATATTTAAACAAGATAAATATATTAAAAATGAAATTTAAAAAAAAAAAAAATTAAACCTTCCACAAAAAAAAAAAATTTTAAAAAAAATAAATAAATAAAAATGAAATTAAAAAAAAAAAAAAAAAAATTAAATATATTTTTTTTTTTTTGATGAATACCAAATCCAATTTGAGTCATTATGCATTTGTCGTGTGAAATTTAGAAAAAACCGAAAAATGATTTAATATTTTTGTAATAGTATTAATATCTGATGGTAAAATTATTTATTATTTATTTTTTACTTTTAGATTTTATTATCTAAATACTTGAAATTTAAATAGGGTATAATAATGTTTCTTACATATTCTTTTGAGAATGATGGGGATGGGGATGATGATGATGATGATGTTTCATTTTGGTTATTTGATTGTTGTTGTTCTTGTTGTTCTTGTTTTGAAACTAAATGGTTTTTAATTATACGTAAAACAAAAAGATCAATGTAATTTGTTAATGGTGAAATAATATTACTGTTTGGGGTTAAATAAATATTTTGATTTTTGTATTTGCTTCCTTTCTTTAATGATTCGATTTCTGATGGTTTTTCACTTGTAATAATTTTAATATTTTTGCTTGTAGAATTACTAATTTGAACATCTTTTACATAGTTCCAATATGGGATTTCAATATTGTTTTCTGAGGCATATCTGGCAATTACATGATTTGATAATTCTTTGACTACATCTTTAATATTGTTTGCTGATAATTTGCTTAAAGAGTATTTGGTTTTACAGTTCATAACTTTACTGAAACTTATTAATTTCTTTATTAATTCATTTTCTTGTTGGGTGATTGAATCTACATCGTCGACCATTTCATTCTTTATTATATTATTGATAGAGCTATCAGTTAACAATTGAACATTCTTGAGGATACTTGGGGAAACTGAATAATTAATAATTTCACCTGCTTTACTGAATGTGATAAAAATTGAAATGCATGGTTTATTTTCATCTTCTTGTTTAATTTTAATTTCATCATAGATATCCTCTGGTATCATTTTGCAAACTTCACCACTATCTTTTTCAAAATTTAAAGATTTAAGCATACACCATGTATCGATTGAAGATGTTTCTGGTATTAAATCTGTAAAATCTGGGATATTAATATTTAATGATATTGATTCATCCTCTGGATTAATTTCTCCTAATGTAATTGATGAGTCCATTTGCTCTAATAATATTGACTTTTCATTTATTTCTATTCTCTGTATGAAAAAAAAAAAAAAAAAAAAGTTAATATCATTCCTTTAAGATTTTCTTTTTTTTTTTTTTAAATATATTATTTGTGAGATACATTACATTATTAATTTTATCTTCAATATTTTTTTCGATTTGAATTTTTGGATTATTTATGAAAGTAATTTCATTTTTTGGTGATTCTTGATGGTTTTTAAATTTAGCTAATAAAAATGATAAAAAGAGTTTGATTTCCTTCGATTTACTAATTATTAAAATAAAGAGAAAGTTAATATTTATAAATTTAATACTTTGATAGTTTATGATTATAAAATCCAACTTACGTTATACCAATTGGTTCTAATAATTTTGAAAAAATTAATTTTGTTTCATAGTTATTGTATCTTTCAATACATTGAGTTTCGGTGTAATATTTTTTTAATAGTGAAATATATAGTTGGAATGGTTCGTCAATATTATACTGAATAGCTTCATTCTGGTAAATTTCATCTGAATATTTATTTAATTTGAAGTCTTTTGGATTATTAATAATAATTTCACTGATACAATATTTGAAGAATTTCGTTCTTTCTATATTGTCTTGATCGATATTATTTAACATTTCAATGTTGCTAAAAATTTCATCATTGGTGGATCTAAAACAAAAATTTCTTGGTGATGATAATTGGTAGAATGGGAAATATTCTAAAGAGCTTACAAAATAAAAGTATAATAGTATGTCGCCCCACTTTGATTTATAATAAGTATTTCTGTAGAATAAAGAGGCACCCTCGCTAATTGGAATTTCGCTTCTAACTTGTACGTCATATTGATCTGCCCAATCGCTAATATCGCCTATAATTTTTAAACCATTAATTATACCATCCTTTTTTTCTGACATGAAACCATATTTCTCGAAGAATAAAGAGTGGGCATCGAATTGGCTGTTGCACTCGGAAATGAAGCAGTCATTTAAAAATACTAGTAATTCTCTAAATAGTGAGTCAAAGCTACCAAATAAATGTTCCCTGTTGACAGAGTGTTTGATATGTTCGATTCTGTGCTTTAATTCATTAATTATGACATGTTGTTGGCTGATATCTGCAAAGTCGGATAATGATTCGATAAATTCATTAAAAAAACGATGATTGTTTCTTCTTAATGGTGATAGTGGGAAACATAATATAATTTCGTTGATGGAGTATTCGTTATTTTCTGATAATATCATTTTATTATTCTTGACATCGATCATTGATATATAGTCTAAATAAATTCTTTTGTGCACTCTGTTATATACCAAAACTACATCATATATTTCTAACTTTGCTGGATTTAAAATAAACTTGAATCTTTCATTACATTTAATTACTTGATCCAACATTGGTGTAAAAAATTTGGGTGATTTAAAAATATTTTGATCTATATTTGTATTATTAATATTATCTATTTTACTATCAACATTAACTTCTATATTACTATTATTATAATCAATCTTATCTTTACTATTGATATCAATATTATTATTATCTGTATTAACACTCAAACTGTTATTTATATTATTTTTTATTTTTCTCTTTTTTCTTTTTGACATTGGGTTATTTTCTATTATTTGAATTGATGAACTTGAAAATTCCTTATATGTATCTGTCGAAATAAAATTATAGTTTGATTTTCCTTTATCTGACCCATTTAATCTAATATTGTGTAAATCAATTCTATCATCTTCTTTCTCTGGTTGAGATTGTTGTTCTAAACTATCTTTTGTTGGCCATTGAATATTTGAAAAACTATTATTTATTTTTTTTTTATTTATTTTGATATTATTTGGAGTTGTAATATTATCTCTTTGATCAGTTGGTTTATTAGAAGTTTCGGTGTCCCAATCCAATGAATCTAAAAAACTATTTGTATTTGAACAATAATATCTTATTGATAAAATATTTTTATTACATAATCTTTTTATAAACCCATTTTTGACTGGGTTTATATTTAACATTATTTATCTATTTATTTATTTATTTAAATGTTTTTTCAATGATTTATCAAATGAAAATTAAATAAAAAAAAATAAAAAAAAAATTTTTAAAAATTTTTTTTTTTTTTTTTTTTTAAATTACTTTTTTTTTTTTTTTTTTAAAGAAATAAATTAATTTTATTACTTATTCCAAAGTTGGTTAAATAATATAAATAAATATTTTATTTTTTTATTATAATTAAATTTAATAATATCACCAAAAATAATTATTTAAAATATTTAAAATAAAAAAAATAAATAAAATAAAAAAAAAATTAAAAAAACGAAAAATAAAAAAAATAAAAAAAATAAAATTCGTTTTTATTAATTTTTTTTTTTCCCAATAATTATAATTTTATCTGTATATTTATTTGTATATAGGTTTATAAAATGACAACAGATGGAGTTAAAAAACACACCAAAAAGATTAAAAAATTAACAAGAGAAGAAAGGTTAAGAGCAACCATAAGAAAAAAGATTGATAAACATGCAGAAAGACAAGTTTTAATGGCCGAGTTACAGTAAGTATACATTTTAATGCATTTTATAAATGATTTAAAAATAAATAAATACTAATACTAATACCTTTTTATAAAGAACAAACTCGATGAGTGATAAACACAGGGAATTGTTAAAGTCATCAAGTAGTTTAGGTGCTAAAGAAACAAATAAGGAATCTATAGCAAGACAAAAAAAAGAGATGGAACTTAATGTAGTTGTCCCTAAAGATATTTCATATTACAGAGATGTAGATATTAATAAAAAAGTTATTAGACCAGATAAGATCTCTGATGATTGGGATGATTATAAGGAACCAATTATTGAAAAGTCAACTCCATTAGAAATACCGCAACTTGCTCCAGAAACTTTAGATAAATTAGAATTTGAAAAGACTCATAAAACAATTGAAAAGCGTAGAGAAGAAAAGTCTAAAAAGAAATACTTCTTTTGGAAAAATAATGATGTCGAAAGAGATTATGATGAGTATGATGATGTTGTTCAAGATAAAGGCTCTTACTTGAAGGATAAGGAAAATTCAGATAGTGAAGATGAAAGAACAATTCAATTAAACAGTACCGAAAATAATATTAAAGCCGAAAAAGAAAAACAATTAAATGAAAAAAAACTAAAACAACAACAGATTAAAGAACAAAAACAAGCTAAAGAACAACAAATTAAAGAACAACAAGTTAAAGAACAACAGGTTAAAGAACAACAAGTTAAAGAACAACAACAAAAACAGCAGGTTTTAGATAAAAAAAGAAAAGAAATTGATATTAATAATAATAAAAATAATAAAAAGCAAAAGAATGATAATAAAAACAATATCAATAATAGCACTAGCAATAATAACGATAATAATCAATTTGATGAAGAATTGGATAAAGATAAAGTTATGGAAATTTATGAACAGGTTAATGATGAAATTGATAGATATAATTTATCAATTGAGGTTTTTGGTAAACAAGATGAAGAGAATAGAGAAGTATTTTTAAGAACTAAAACTGGTATAGAATCAATTGAAGAAAGACTCAGCGAAGAGGTAGATGCTCAGCCAATCGAATATAATGTATTCCATGTTAAAGTTGAACGTAAACCAGAAATTGACGAAGTTAGAAATAATTTACCAATTTTAATGGAAGAACACACTATTGTAGAAAAAATTAAAGATAATGATGTTGTTATTATTTGTGGTGAAACTGGTTCAGGTAAAACTACTCAAGTTCCTCAATTCCTTTTCGAAAGTGGTTTTGGTCATAAAGAATGTGGTGATTTCCCAGGTATTATTGGTGTTACCCAACCTAGAAGAGTTGCTGCTGTTAGTACCGCCAAGAGAGTTGCAGAGGAATTAAATGTAGAGTTTGGTAAAGAAGTTGGTTATCAAATTCGTTATGATAAGAAATTAGACACTACAGTTAATAAGATCAAGTTTATGACTGATGGTATTTTAATGAGAGAAGTTCAAAACGATTTCCTTTTAAACAATTATTCAAGTATTCTCATTGATGAGGCTCACGAAAGAAATCTTAATACCGATATTTTAATTGGTCTCTTATCAAGAATTGTACCATTAAGAAAGAAGTTATATTTACAATCATTAAAGAATCCAGATGCCGAAAAAATCAAACCATTAAAATTAGTAATTATGTCAGCTACTCTTAGAGTTGAAGATTTCACAAAGAATAAGAATTTGTTCGTTAGACCACCACCAGTTATTAATATTCAAGCAAGACAGTTCCCCGTTACAATTCATTTCAACAAAAAAACTGAATTGGTAAATTATATCGATGAAGCATATAAAAAGGTTATCAAGATCCATAAAAGATTACCAGCTGGTGGAATTTTAGTTTTTGTAACAGGTAAACAAGAAATTGAAGTGTTATGTTCAAAACTAAGAAGATCTTGCCCAATGAAAAAAATCAATAAATCGTTTAAAGCTCAAATGGATAAAACAAATGATGAATTTAAAACAATCGATACCAACGATCAAAATAATATCAAAACAAATCAATTTATTTATGGTGATGCAGATGATTTCGATTTCGATAATACCCCAGATGAAAACTATGGTAAAGATAATGACTACAATGATTTCAACGATTTAGAAGTTTTAAATGATGAAGATATCGAAGTTGAAGAGGATGAAGAAGAGGAAGAAAATGAAGAAGAAGAAGAAGAAGAGGAAGAAGAGGAAGGGGAAGAAAATGAAGAAGAAGAAGAAAATGAAGAACAAGATGGTAGTGATACTGAAAAAGAAAAGGAGGAAACTAAAGAATTAACAGAAAATGAAAAATTAATTAATAATAGCGAAATTTTAATTAAAGAAATAAAAGAAGATGATGATGAAGACGATGAAAATGAAAATGGTGATGATGATGATGATAAACCAAAAGGTCCATTATATGTATTGCCATTATATTCAACATTACCAACATCAAAACAAATGAGAGTTTTCCAAACTCCACCATTAGGTTCAAGATTAGTAGTTGTAGCAACCAATTTAGCTGAAACCTCACTTACCATTCCAAATATTAAATATGTTGTCGATACAGGTAGGGTTAAACAAAGATATTACAACCAAGAAAATGGTATAAGTAGTTTCGAAGTTGGATGGACTTCCAAAGCTTCTGCAGATCAAAGAGCTGGTAGAGCTGGTAGAACTGGACCAGGTCATTGTTATAGGGTATTTTCAAGTGCAGTTTATAATGATCACTTTGAACAATTCTCAAAACCAGAAATTTTAATGATTCCAATCGATGGCATGGTACTTCAAATGAAATCGATGGGTATTCAAAAGATTACCGGGTTCCCATTCCCAACACCTCCAGATGAATCAGCATTAAAATTAGCACTCAAAATTTTAGTTAACTTGGGTGCGCTAGAACAAAAGAAATTCAACATTACAGATCTTGGTATGAGAATGGCCCAATTCCCAGTTTCACCACGTCACTCTAAAATGCTTTTACTTGGCCAGGAACATAATTGCTTACCATTTATAATTGCTATAGTTTCAATTCTCACAATTAAAGAACCATTTTTAAAAGAAGCTTACGAAAATCCAAATAATGAAGATCCAAACGACAATAATAATGATGATTCAACTGAAAAAGAAATGTTAGAAAAAGAAAAAGAAGAAAGATCAAAGAATAATCAACGTATTAGAAACAGTATGAGAAAATGGCAACATAAAGATTCAGATCTTTTATCAATATTAAAAGTTGTAGGTGCTTATGATTATCAAATTAGAAAGAACCCTAAACAAATTGAACAATTTTGTGCACAACAATTTTTAAATACAAAATCAATGTCTGAAATCCACAAACTTCGTCAACAACTTACCGAAATTGTAAATTCAATAAATACTCTTAATAATGAATTGGATCCAACTACCTATCCACTAGTTTCCCCAATAAGCTTTAACCAATCAATTAAACCACCTACTACAACACAAGAGTTATTTATTAAACAAGTAGTTACAGCTGGTCTTATCGATCAAGTTGCTAAAGTTAGAGAAACCCAATCAGGAACCAATCCAAAGCATCTAATTGAATATCAAACAGCAGTTCATAATAATATTGCCGATGATGGCACCTGCTTTATTCACCCAACCTCAAATCTTAGTAAAGGTAGTTCAGAGTATGTAATTTATTGCGATATCATCGAAACCTCACGTCCATATATGAAATTGGTTACCGAAATCAATCCTACATGGTTACCATTATTAGGTAAACCTCTCTGTGCAGAATTTAAACCATTAGAACAGCCAGCTCCATACTACTCTTTAAAACATGATAAAGTAAGATGCTATATAAAACCAAGCTTTGGCAATCACCATTGGGAATTACCGTTAATTAAAATAGATCATCCAGATAGCACAGAATCAGTCAGATTTTTCACCAAAGCACTTTTAGAAGGTCAAGTCTTTTCTCCACTCAAATATTTAGTGCCATACTTAACTACAACTCCAACAATTATAACTACCCCAAATACCCAAACCAAAGTATTCAAATTAATTAATGCATTAAAATCAAAGAAAATCTCATCAAAAGAATCATTATTAAATGAATGGATTAACAATCCAAAATTCTTATTTGATGAATATTTATTATGGTTAAATGTCATTAAACCTTCTATTCTTTCAAGTATGTGGCCTCCTTTAGATTCAGTTCAAATTCCGCTCCAATTAATTAAATAGATAATTTTATTTTTGAATAATTTTAAAATAAAAAGTTTTGGATTTATTGAATAGTTTATTTTATTTTATTTAACTTAAATTAACTGGTAATAATTTATAAGATTCCTCAATTGCTTTTTTTTGATGATATATAATTCTTGAAATTTTTTAATGCCAAATAATACTTGATATGTTTAAATGCTATATAATCCTTGCTAAATAATCCTTGATATTTTTATATGCCAAATTATATTTGATATTTTAAATGGTACATAATACCTGATGTTTTTATTGATCCATATTTAATATATTTTGAATTTTACACAATACTTGATATTTTAATTGATCCAATAAAATACTTATTATACAAAAAATCTTGATATTATTGAATGATCTAAAATAATTATTTTGATCCAATAAAAAGATAGCTTTAATGCTAAAAATCCTCGATAGTTTTAATGCTAAAAAATCATTTATATTTTTTAATGCTAAAAATCTTTTATATGTCTTAATGCTAAAAAATCCTCGATAGCTTTAATGCTAAAAAATCCTCGATAGTTTTAATGTTAAAAAATCTTTTATATGTCTTTATAATGATATAAAATTATGGTATCAAAATAAAAATAAAAAAAACTATAGTTGAATTATAATAATTAAATGCAAAAAAATCCTCGATATGCCTTAATGCTAAAAAATCCTTGATGTGTTTTAATGCTAAAAATCCTCGATATGTTTTAATGCTAAAAAATCCTCGATATGTTTTGATAATATTTTTAATTATTTTTTATTTTTTATACTATTAGCCACTCTTTGTAAAGAGTGTTTCCAGCTCTACCACGGGGAGGTTAGTATATTAGAGCCGGATGGTTAATTATTTATACCTTCAGGCAGTATAAATAATTAAACACCATATTTGTGGTTAATTATGTATCCCACCACGCAGAATGCATAATTAACCACCATGTTTGTGGTTAATTATATATCCCACCACGCAGAATACATAATTAACCACCATATTGATAATAGGGCGAAATGAGGTGAAGTGAGGTGAAGTGTAATGTGTTGTGTTGGGTTTTTTTTTTTTTTTTTTTTTTTTTTTTTTTTTTTTTTTATTTTTTTTATTTTTTTTATTTTATTTTTTTTATTGTGTTGTGTGTTGTGTTGTGTGTTGTGTTGTGTGTTGTGTGTTGTGTGTTGTGTGTTGTGTGTTGTGTGTTGTGTTGATTAAAATACTTACCTTATAATCATTATTTTGGTCCAATAAAATACTTACCTTATAATCATAATACAATAAAACTTGATAATCTTGATCAAACCCACTTGAATTTACCTGAATGTGTATAATGAAAAAAAAAAATTTTATGAAATTATTTTCTTTAAATACTTTTTAGTTTTTTTAAAAAAAAATAAAAATTTAATTTAAAATTAATTAATTAATTAATCTATAACTATTTCCTAATTTATTTAAAACATCAATTCCAAAATAAGTAAAATTTGTATTGCAAAAAAAAATGTAGATCTGCTACAATCAAAATTGGTAATAATTTGAAACAGGGGAGTTTTTTTTTTTCAAAATTTTTTAATTTTCAAATAAATTAAACATATCTTCCTTTTAAAGAAATCATTTTTCCATTTATATAATTTTATTATAATTCATTTCATAATTGATATGTGGAAAAGGAATAAAGTAAGAATTTGGTAGTTCATTATATGATAATCAAATTGGTATTATATCTGAATGAAAATGCATTAAAAAAAAAAAAAAAAAAAAAAAAATTTAATTTTATAAATTTAATTTTTTTTTAAATTTAAAATTTTTTAATCATTTTTTTATTTTTTTTTTTATGGTCACAATGAGCGCTTTTTTTAAAATTTTTTTGAATTTTATTAATTATAATATTTTTATTTTCCTTTTCAAAAACCTTCACAAAACCATATTGATAAATCTAATATTATGGTGCTATTTCACTTGTGTTGATGCTTATATTAGCAGGTTGACCTCTTTATTTCGCACATCACCATTAATCTATAAATATAATATAATATTATTTTCTTTTTTAATTATTGAAACCTCAACCAATACAAAAAAGTCGAATTATTGTTTTTTTATTTTGATTATCCATTTTTATCGTTTTTTATAAAATCTTCCAGATGGTCCAAAAAAGATAAACGATAACGATAATTTTTAATCACTAATTTTTACTAATTATTAATATATAGCAAAGGAGGAGCTGGTTTAATTATTTTAGAAGCAACAGCAACCTCACCAGAAGGAAGAATCAGCTATAGTGATAGTGGATTATGGAAGGATGGACAAAAGGAGCAATTAAAAAGAGTTATAGATTTTTGCAAAATCTTTGGTCCGCGTATGGATATTCAAATAGCCCATGCAGGAAGAAAAGCATCAACTGAACCTCCATTTCTTGGACATAGAAAACAGGGTTTACCATTTGATGACCCTAAAGGATGGGAAGTTGTAGGTCCAAGTGAAGATAATGATTCAATAAAATACTTACCCTATAATCATAATTAAAAACAATAAAAGAATAAAATCCGCTTATAAAAAAAAAAAATGGATCAAATTGCATACTTTAAGGAAATGCCACATTTTATAGTAAAACAAAATAAAATTTATATATTTAAATTTAAAAAAGCAAAATGTTTATTTAAACTAATTATTACTAAAAAAAATCATATCTTTAAGTTGGTTTTTCATAAAATAAATTCTTTGGGTAAGAGTTGTAAAGGACTGAGGATAAGATAATGATACCACCCAAAAGTAATAAATATGGGAATGAATCTTTTTTAGATTTACCTTGTTGATTTGGTTTGTCGAAACATTTATCAATTGGACAAACTTCTCCATCTTCAATTGATTCTGCCAATAAAATACCATCTTTATCTAAATCCATTTTATAAACAATTGAATTAATAATATAATCACCACCATCCAATTTATAAACTTTAATATTATTCTTTTTGATTGTAGAATGGTTCTTTCTAATAGCATCTTGAACTTTTGTATCAAGCTCTTCTTGGTTTGGATTCTGAGGAGTGGATTCTGAGGATGGTGTTGAAGATGATGCGGCATCTAATAAATCTTTATTTAGCTTATCAATTAACTTGTTCTTTTCTTTGATTTCATTGTCTTTATTGTCAATTGATTTATTATTGGCATCCAAATCTAATTTGAGAGTACTATTTGATTGTTCTAATTGAGAAAGTTTATCTTGGTAACCTTTAGATTCAATCTTTAATGATTCTATAGATGATAGAGACTTTTCTTGTTTATCTTGAATAGTTTTGATGATATTATCCTTTTCTTCTATTTGTAATCTAAGAGAATGACGCTCCTCAATAACACGATTAAGTTTACCAATGCTATCTTCGCTATTTATTTGATCTAATTTTTCTTTGATGATTTCTAATTCCTTTTCTTTTTCTTTTAACAAATCATCTCTTTCTTTAATTAGTTGAATCTTATTATCAAGGTTTTGTTGCTTTTCATTAATAATTTTATCTTTATCTTCAATTAACTGCTCTTTTTCTTTGACGTTAGATAACTGGCATTCTATTTCTTTTTGTTTTTCATCGAGTAATTGCTGGTGTTTTTGATTATTATCATCAAGTAGTTGTTGGTGTTGCTTAATTTGATCATTTTTACTTATGTCACTCTTTGATTGTTGTTCAAGTTGTTGGTCTTTATCTTGAATCTTTTCAAGCAATTCTTTAATTTTTTGTTCTTTATCCTCAATTGATTTTTGTTTTTCTTGAATATTATTTTCCTTTTCACTGATTTGTTTATTCTTTTCTTGAATATCATTTTCCTTATCTTGAATTCTTTGGTCTCTTTCTTTGATTTGATTATCCTTTTCATCCAATTGTTGTTGGTTGCCACTTGTTAAATTTGATTTAATATTTTGTATTTCATTATCCTTTTGATGTAATTCTCTATCTTTTTCAACTAACAAACTATTCTTTTCATTTAACTCTCTATCTTTTTCATCCAATTGTTGACTCTTTTCATTTAACTCTTTATCCTTTTCACTGATTGAGTCTTGTTTAACTTGAAGTTGTTGATCTTTTTCATTTATTTGTTTATCTTTTTCAATAATTGAGTTTTCTATATCTTGGAGTTTTTGATTCTTTTCAATTAATTGTTGATCTTTATCTTTGATAGTTTTTTCTTTGTCACTAATTTGTTTATCTTTTTCAAGTAATATTTGTTGATTATCACTTTCTAAATTTGATTTTATGCAATTAATTTCTTTTTCTTTTTCTTCAAGTAATTGGTCCTTATCTCTAATTTCTTGATCTTTATCTTTGATAATTTCAATGTTTTTATTTAGTTGTTGATCCTTTTCTTCAAGTTCTTTATCTTTATCGGATATTTGTTGTTCATTTTCTTTTATAATGTCATCTTTAATTTGAATTTGTTTATTCTTTTCTTGAATATCATTGTCTTTATCTTGAATTCTTTGGTCTCTTTCTTTGATTTGGTTGTCCTTTTCATCCAATAGTTGTTGGTTGTCACTTGTTAAACTTGATTTAATACTTTGAATTTCATTATCCTTTTCACCAATTAAATTTTCTTTCTCTAAAAGTTGTTGCTCTTTTTCTTTAATACAATTTTCCTTTTCTTGGAGCTCTTTATCTTTTTCTGTTAATAATTGTTGATTATTTGATTTAATTTCATTAATTTCTTTTTCTTTTTCTAAAAGTAATTGATCTTTTTCTTGAATAGATTGATCTTTTTCTTTAATCAACTGATCTTTCTTTAGAGTTTCTGATTTTATTTCATTAATATTTGTTTCTTTTTCATGAATTAAATTTGATTTATCCCTGATTAATTCCTCTTTTTCATTAACAACTTGAAGAGTTTCTTTTATCTTTTGTTCTAATTGAGCACAGTTATCATTAACCAATTTAATTTCATTTTCTTTATCTTCCAATAATTGATCCTTCTTAGAAAGTTCATTTTCAAATTGATTTTTGAAGTCTTGGTTGTTATTTAATATTGATTGATTAATTTGGGCGATTTCATTCTCTTTTTCAGAAATCTTTTCATTTAATAATTTGATTTCAGTTTCTTTTTCTTGAATAAATTGGCTTCTTTCATTTCCCAATTGTTCAATAGTATTATCTTTTTCTAAGAGCTTCTCTTTAACTTCATTTAATTGTTTAATTTCAACATCTCTCTCTTGAATTAACTGATCCTTTTCACTAATAACGGTTTCTTTAGCGGCAATATCTTTTTCAAAACTTTCAACACGATCTTTAAATGATTGAATTTCTTGAGATCTATCACCAAGCTCTTTGTCTCTTTCTTGTATTAATTGAGTAATTTCATTGATTTTACTATCTTTTTCATTAAGCAATTGATCCTTTTCTTTTAATAATTGATCCTTTTCTTTGAATTGATCTTCACTAACGGTTTGATTTGAAGCCAATGATTTATTTTCTTCTTGAAGTTGTTGGATAGTTGATTTAAGATTTTCAATAACCTTTTCAAATTCTTTTTCCGAATTTGATTTTTGCTCTTTACTATCATTAAGTTCAACCAAAATACTGTCATATTTGGTTTGTAATTCTAAACCAGATTGTAATTGACTATTAATTCTTTCAATCAATTCATCTTTTTCTTTGATTTCACTGAAAAGTTTATTTTGCTTTTCTTCAAACTCACTATTGGTGGCTGATTGTTGTTTAGTTAATTGAGCAATATCCTCTAAAATTCTCTTATTTTCATCTTGAATAGTTTGATTTAATCGTTCAAGTTCTTCATATTTGGATTGGTATTTTTGTGTATCATTATCTGTTGATTTTAAAGTTTCCTTTAAACGTTCAATTTCATCTTGAGCTGATTTTACCAAATCATTTAAACTATCTAATTCTGATTGTTTACTGTCAATATCCTTTTGAGCCTGTTCTTTTTCTGACTGAATTGATTGAATTTGACTTTGAACTTGATCTTTATCATCTTGAACACCTTTTAATTTCAATTCTAATTGTTCTACTGAGCCATTTAATTCTTTATTCTTTTCTCTTTCTTCTTCTAATTGTTGGGATAAATCCTTTTCTTTGGAGTTGAATGAGTCAAGTTGGGTGTGTAATGTAGAAATCTCTTCCTGTGCATTGGAAAGAGATTGTTGTTTTTCACTTAATTCTTTTTTGATATAACTAACCAAGTTTTCAAGATCCTTTGGTGTCTCATCTACACCACTCTTTAGTTCGGAGAAAATATCTGTAATCTTTGAATATGTCTGATAATTTGTTTCATTCATTTCTTTAAGTTCAGCTTCTTTGTTATGTAATAACTGATCTTTTTCTTTAATTTCACTTTCTAATTGAACTAATTTCTCTTGATTATTATCAACATAAACAATCTTTTCTACCTCTACGATTTTGTCAACTTCTACCTCTACGATTTTGTCAACATAGACAATTTTCTCTACTACAATTTGTTCAGATGATGGTGATCTACTATTATTTTTAATTTTACTGCTATCACTATTCTCTTCAATCGATGTTGGTTCTACTATGGGTGGTGGTTGTAATTGAGTTTGGTCATCAATTACAAATGGGGGTGATTTACTAATTGTTTGATGTTGTCTTTGTTCAAATGATGGAGATTTACTTACTTGAATTGAATTTCTTTTGGATGGTGAAAAAAATGAGGATACAGAATCTCCTAATCTTTCTTGATAAACTTTTGGAAAGAATGAAATATATGTTAAAATTGATTTCTCGTCAGGTTGAGTGGAAATATCTTGTGGATCTAAAATTGATGGAATGTTTAATTCTCTGTTGGCTGTTTCAAAGGCTAATTGAAGATTATACAATGGATTTGAACTATTTAACGAAGCAAAATCAATTTTATCTGGTACTAATTTATGAACAAGTGCACAAAATAATAAACCGTCTTGAAAACTATTTTTTTTTTTTTTTTTTTGATTAATTTAATTATGTTAATATTAATGTATTTATTTATAAAAAAAAAAAATAATAAGAAATTAATGTGTTTAATAAAATATGAAAAATAAAATAAGGAAATAGGAAGAAAAAATAAATAAAAATTAATTTTTTAAAAAAATAAAAAATAAAAAATAAAATAAATAATAAAAAAAAAAAAAAAAAAAAAAAAAAAAAAACAATTTTATTTTTTAAAGATCTAACGGGATGTAATTAACAAAAATAAAGATAATACAATTTTTAAAAATAGATAAATAAAAAATAAAAAATTAAAAAAATAAAAAAATAAAAAAATAAAAAAAATTTGTTATTTTTAATATTTACCTTTTTGTTAAATCATTAACTTGAATATGTGGATAATTTTCAGATAATTGACTTTTAGTCCATGATATCATCATTTCCGAAGGTTTTGCTAAATAAAAATAAATGAAAAATTAATATAAATTTATAATATAAAACAATGGCGATTTTTAAAATAACAACTTACAACTACCATTTTGAGGGTTTTTTGACCCCAATATTTGAATTTGATAAGTTAAAATTAATGTCCAAATCAAACCCATAATTAACTTTAAATTTTTATCCACAATATCTTCACTACCGAGACCAACTGTTTTAATTCCTTCATCATGAATAAATTTAAGAGAGACATTAAGGTTGTTGATATACAAAAGTCTTGACATGGTATCTCTGTTTTTTATCTTTGAAACAATTACATTTTTGCCACTTAAAATCTCTAAAAGATTACCCAAATATACACCATCACCAAAATCAGTTTGAAGATCTTCAATCCTTTGATTTCTTTGTGATAAGAAAACATTACACCAATTTGTAAATACCTAGTTCCAATAAGTAAAAAAAAAATTATTTGTTAATATGAATTATATAAAAAAAAATTAAAATTATTTTATTTTAAGAATTTACCTTTATTTGATTAGTTTGCCAATTTTGATCATTCTTTTTAATTGCCGTTGATGTTAGTTCTTTAGTTGGTGTAACTGGTGTTACTTGTTGAGTCTCTGCGACTTCTACCGAAGATGGATTTTCAGTTTCCATTTATTTTTTTTTTTATCTTTTTTTATAATATGAAAAAAATATTTTATAATATAAACAAATAATTATATTGGGAAGGTTTATTATAAAAAAATTAATTAATTAAATGAATAAATAATTAATTGAATAATAAACAGTTGAATGATTGAATAATATAATATTAAATAAATAATTAAATAATTAAATAAAAAAATAAATAAATAATAAATAATAAATAATAAATAAACCTTTTTTAAAGGTTTTTTTTTTTTTTTTTTTTTTTTAAAAAAAAAATTAATTTAAAAAATATATCCAAATTTTATTGTCCAATAATTAAAAAAATTTACCCAAATTTTAATGCCCAATTTTTTAAAAATATATATAAATAACAAGAAAATTTTTGTTGGGGGGGAAAATGAAAAAAAATTAAAAAATGTTAAAAATAAAAAAAAAAAAAAAACCAAAAAAAAAAAAAAATGTTTTTTTAAAAAAAATGCCATTTTTTGCCTATTATAATAAAACTATTTTTGATTATTATAAAACACTTAACCTTTGTATAACCCACACCAATACAGGTGAAGTGTGTTTGTTGAGTGTTAAAAAAAAAAACCACCCCATTAAAGGATAAAGTAAATTTTTTGAAATGTGTCTGTTTTTTGTTTTTTTCAAAAATCTTGATAACAATCTTATTTTACAAAATCATATAATTAATTAAAAAAAAAAAAAGAAAAACTATTTTTATTTTTTTAAAAAAAAAAAATAATTATTTATTATTATTTATTTATTTTATTATTTATACTATAACAGCTAAAGTTTTCTTTTCTTCGACAATTTCATTAACATTGTATGGTAAAGATTCGACTTTACCATCAATTGGACTACGAATGGTATGTTCCATTTTCATAGCTTCCATAAGAAGGATTGGTTGACCTTTTTTAACACTGTCACCAACATTGACCATGATTTTAGTAACTTTACCTGGCATTGGTGAGACGAGTGAACCAAGAGCAGCATCACCACCTTTTGGTAAAACAGTTGATGGAATTTCGAGTTGGTATTGTTGGCCATCAGCACTAAAGATGTTAAGAGAGTTTTTAACGGTGACGGTTTTAATATTGTTATAGAATCTACCGTTGACGTGGGCGCTAACAGTTTCATTTTGAGTGTTTAATTTAGCATCGGTAACTTGAACGGTGGCACCATTAACAGTGACAGTAAAGTTATTTTTACCATCGTATTCAACTGGAATTTCGAGTTTGTTATCTTTAAAGTCGAATTTAACAGTGCTCTTGAGACTGTGATTAACTCTGAAACCGATGAGGGATGACCATGGGGAAGTTGGATCTTCTTTTGTTTTTTGTGATGCGATATCTTTTAAAAGTAATGAAACAGCGGCAAGAGCAATGGTGTCATTTGACATTGGTTCTTGTGGTGCCATTAATGATTCACGATGAATTGGGATGAAACCGGTTTCAACTTCACCTTTGACAAAAGCTGGATGAGTTGATAATCTCTTTAAAAAGTTGATGTTTGTATTTAAACCAATAATGTGATATTCATCGAGTGAGTTTCTAAGATATCTAAGGGCTTTTTCTCTATCTTCGTGCCATACGACTAATTTGGCAATCATTGGGTCATAATAAACAGAGACTTCATCACCTTGACGAACACCAGTTTCGACTCTTAAGGTTGATGATGGAGTTGGAGTTGAAAGATGTGCAAGTTTACCAGTACCTGGAAGGAAATCACTATCTGGGTTTTCAGCATAGATACGAGCTTCGAATGAATGACCGTGAATCTTTAAGTCTGATTGTTCTAATGGAAGTTTTTGTGATTCTGCAACCTTTAATTGCCATTCGACAAGATCTTGTTTGGTAATCATTTCAGTGATTGGATGTTCTACTTGAAGACGAGTGTTCATTTCCATGAAAAAGAAACTACCATCTTGTGAAAGGATGAATTCGACTGTACCTGCACCAACATAACCAACAGCTTTAGCTGCAGCAACAGCAGCACTACCCATTTTTTGTCTTAAATCTTCACTTAAATGTGGAGCTGGAGCTTCTTCAATAATTTTTTGATGACGTCTTTGAACTGAACAATCTCTTTCGAAAAGATGAACACAGTTACCGTGTTTATCAGCGAAAACTTGGATTTCGACATGTCTTGGATGAACTAAATATTTTTCGACTAAAACTCTTGAATCACCAAATGATGCTTGTGCTTCTCTCTTTGATGAATTAACACCATCCTCTAAATCTTCTTCTCTTTCGACAATTCTCATACCTTTTCCACCACCACCCATAACTGCTTTAATTAAAACTGGATATCCAATTTTTAATGCTTCTTTTTTTAAAATATCCATTGATTGATCTTCACCATGATAACCTGGAATAGTTGGTACCTATAAAGTTATTTTATAAATGATATCAGTAAACAATTCTCCTCCTATAAATTAATTTCAAATTATCCTATATATAATTAATCAAAAATATTTACACCAGCTTTAATCATAATATCTTTTGATGCTGACTTGCTACCCATAGCTCTAATAGCATCTGATGGTGGACCAATAAAAATAATACCTTCCTTTTCACATAAATCTGCAAAATCTGAATTTTCTGATAAGAAACCATAACCTGGGTGAATAGCCTAATATAAATAAAGAAATAAAGTAAATATATATGAAATAGATTATATTTCTATTATTATTATTGTTGCTATGTATATTATTATGATTATCTATGTTGTTGTTATTAAGTATATTTCTATTATGATTATCTCTATTATAGAATTATATAAATGATCATTATTATTGATGTATATTATAATAATATCATACTTGAGCACCTGATTTCTTAGCAATTTCGATAATTTTATCACCTCTTAAATAACTTTCTTTAGCTGGTGGTGGACCAATTAAATAGCTTTCATCGGCTAATGAGACGTGTAAAGAGTTTTTATCGGCTTCAGAGTAAACTGCAACAGTCTTGACACCCTTTGATTTAGCAGTTCTCATAACACGACATGCTATTTCACCTCTATTTGCAATTAACACTTTAGTGATTGGTGTAATTGAACCTGTACTAGTACTAAAATATCTATTTTTTTTTTTTAAAACAGTAAAAAAAAAATATGAATTCGTTTTTTTTTTTTTTTTGTTAAATTAATTAATTAATTGTTTTTTTAATTGAAACGGTGTGATATATGATTTTTATTTATAAAAAAAATTTTAGTATTATCTTTTTTTTTACCTTAAAAAAAGTTGATCTTTTTTAATTAATCTGCTTATTGAATGCATTTTGTGTAATAATAAGAAATTAATATTAGTTTGAAGAGAAAAAAAAATGAAATGAAATTTTAAAAAAATAATTTAAAAAAAAAAATTTTAAAAAAAAAAAAAAATTTAAAAAAAAAAAAAAAAAAATTTTTTTTTTTTACACCACACACTTTAAGAAATGGTTTAAAGAAAATAAAAATATAAATCTTGATTAACTTTTTTTTTTGTATAATGAAAAATTATTAATTTAATTTAAATTTTATTATTTTATATGATATAAAAATTATTTATTGTTTAGTTTTGATGATTATTTATTTATTTGTTTATTTGTTTGTTATTTATTGATAGTCGGATAATGGTGGGCATGAGCAAACTAAATTTTTATCACCATGGACATTATCGATACGACCAACAGTTGGCCAGAATTTAGATAATTTGGTAGCTGGGGTTGGGAAAGCAGCTTTTTCTCTGGTGTATGGGTAGTTCCATTTTTCATTAATAATAACTTTTTCGGTGTGTGGAGAATTAACTAAAACATTGTTCTTTTTATCTGCTCTACCTTCTTCGATTTCTCTAATTTCTTCTCTGATGATAATTAAGGCATCACATAAACGATCTAATTCGTATTTAGATTCACTTTCGGTTGGTTCAATCATTAAAGTGTTTGGTACTGGCCATGACATAGTTGGACCATGGAAATTCATATCTTGGAGACGTTTGGCAACATCTTCAGCTTCGATACCAGCACTTTCTTTGAACATTCTAAGATCGATAATGAATTCGTGAGCAACAAGACCGTGTGAACCAGTGTAAAGAATTTTGTAGTGGTCTTTTAATCTACTGGCCATATAATTTGCGCTGAGGATAGCAACTTGAGTAGCTTTCTTTAAACCTTGACCGCCCATTAATTTCAAATATACATATGTGATTGGTAAAATTGAACTTGAACCCCATGGAGCAGCAGAAACTGCACTCATAGCACGTTCACCACCAGCATTTTGGACTACTGAGTGACCTGGAAGGAATGGTGATAAATGTGATTTAACACAGATTGGACCCATACCTGGACCACCACCACCATGTGGAATACAGAATGTTTTGTGAAGATTGAGATGGCAAACATCGGCACCAATATCACCTGGACGACAGAGACCAACTTGGGCATTCATATTTGCACCATCCATGTAAACTTGACCACCATATCTGTGAACAATATCGCACATATCCTTAGCACCTTCTTCAAAGACACCGTGAGTTGATGGATAGGTAATCATAAGAGCAGCTAAAGTATCTTTATATTTTTCAGCTTTGGCTCTGAGATCATTTTGATCAATGTTACCTTGAGCATCACAATCGACAACTACAACTTTCATACCAACCATAGCAGCACTTGCTGGATTTGTACCGTGGGCACTAACTGGAATTAAACAAACATTTCTTTGACTTTGACCAATTGAAATTAAATATGAACGAATAACCATTAAACCTGCATATTCACCTTGGGAACCAGCATTTGGTTGTAATGAACAACCATCGAAACCAGTGATTTCACAGAGTGATTTTGAGATTGAATTAAACATTTCTTTGTAACCTAAAGTTTGATCTGATGGTACAAATGGATGGAGTGAGTTGAATTCTGGCCATGAGACTGGATACATTTCGGTGGTAGCATTAAGTTTCATTGTGCAACTGCCTAATGGAATCATAGCGGTGGTGAGACCTAAATCTTTCTTTTGAAGTTTGTGAATGTAACGAAGGAGTTCGTGTTCAGAGTGATATTTATTAAAGATTGGATGGGTTAAAAATTCTGAAGTACGTTCTAATTCGGCTGGGATAACTTTAGTTGAGTTGGTATCAGCTTCAAGTTGTTGTGGTGAAGCAAGACCTAATGGTTTGGAGGCATGAGCAACAAAACCATCTAATAAATTGGTGATATCTTCGGCTGTGACAGTTTCATCGATAGAGATGGCAATAGATTTGTTGTCATATTTTCTGACATTGATTTTTTTGGCGGCTAAATCTTTAATGATCATTTCTGTTTTATCACCACTTTCAATTAAAATAGTATCAAAGAATGGACGATCTAAAACTTGATAACCCATTCTTGAAATACCTTCTCTTAAAATGATGGTTTTTCTGTGGACAGTGTTGGCAATAGCTTTAATACCTTCTTGACCGTGATAGACAGCATACATAGCACTCATATTAGCAAGAAGAGCTTGTGAGGTACAAATATTTGAAGTAGCTTTTTCACGACGAATGTGTTGTTCTCTAGTTTGAAGGGCCATACGATAAGCTGGATCACCTTGTTTATCTTTTGAAACACCAATAATTCTACCTGGTAAAAGACGAGCATATTTATCTTTGGTGGCAAAGAAAGCAGCATGTGGACCACCGAAACCTAATGGAACACCAAATCTTTGACTGTTACCTAAAGCGATATCAGCACCCCATTCACCTGGAGCTTTGATCATAGCTAATGAAAGGAGATCAGTGGCAGCAACAACTAATGAATTGGCTTGATGAGCACGATCAGCTAATTCTTTAATGTCTGCAACTGAACCATTGGTGGCTGGGTATTGGACAATACAACCTACAACACCGGCTAATGAGAAATCAAAATCTTTTGGTTCAGAGATTTCAATACGAATACCCTTTGGTTCAGCTCTGGTTTTAATGGTATCAATAGTTTGTGGGTGACAGTTGCTATCGACTAAGAAGGTGAATGGACCTTTTGATTTTGAAATGTTAATACACATGGTAACAGCTTCAGCAGCAGCGGTAGCTTCATCGAGTAATGATGCATTGGCCATTGGAAGAGCAGTTAATTCTGAAACCATAGTTTGGAAATTTAAAAGTGATTCTAAACGACCTTGACTGATTTCAGCTTGATATGGAGTATATGGTGTATACCATCCTGGGTTTTCTAAAATATTTCTTTGAATGACATGTGGGGTTAAGGTATTGTAATAGCCCATACCAATGAATGATCTAAAGATTTTATTTTTTTGTGCAACTTGTTTTAACTCTTTTAATAATTGACTTTCACCAATGATTGGATTACCTTCGATATCTAAAACTTTGTTTAATCTAATATCTTTTGGGATGGTATATTCAATTAATTGATCTAATGAACTTGGAGTTTTATTTGATAATTTTGATGTGCTAATTTGCTTTAACATTTCGCTAATTTCATTTTCATTTGGACCAATATGTCTTTTTGGAAAAGTATCTAATGGTTGAAAAACTGATACCTTTTGTGTTGTACTGGTATTATTACGAATTAAAACGACATTCTATAAAAAAATAAATATTTATATTGATTTTATTAATTATTAAATAATCAATTATTGTTAGTTATTATTTAAATCTTTTTATTAAAAATTTTTTTTTTTTTTTTTTGAAAAAGGTATGATTTATTACTTTTGTTGATGCGTTTAAAATTGATGTTTGTTTTAAAGCGTTACGAGCTAATAATCTAAACATGTTTATTTCTTTTTTTTTTTAAATTGAATTTGATTTAAAAAAAATATATATATGATTAATTTGGTAATGATTAATTAATAAGAAAACAACAACAACAAAAATGTTTACTATAAACCAAAATTACACACGCTATATATATTATTTATTATATGGGTTTTATTTATATAAATAAAATAAATATTATATAATATTAACTAATAATATATATATATATAATAAACAATAAATATATAAAACGAAAAAAAAAAAAAAGAAAAGGCAAAAAAAAAAAAATCTAATTTCAAAATTTTTAAAAAAATAAAAAAAAAAAAATAAAAAATAATATTTTTCACCATTATTATATATTGACTCACACAGCGAGGGGTAAATTTAAAGTTTTAAAAATGGTATTGATCTCTCAAAAATTAAATTTGTAATAATAAAAGTAATAATAAAATGTCATTAAATTAATTTTATATCTAATAATCGTTAAATGTAATAGTTTCTAATTAAAATTGTTTATATAACCTCAAAGGTATGTTATCGTTGATTTGATTGCAAAAAATTAAAAAAAAAATTTCAAAAAAAATTTCAAAAAAAATTTCTTTTTTTTTTAACCAAAAATTATTTTTAAAAAATGATATATATTTAAAACTAAATAAAATATATTTTTTTTATAAAAAATAGAATAGTAATTTAAATAATAAATAAAATAATTATAAAATATTAAAATATATAATTATAAAAATAATAAATGTAAACAAATTTTTTTTTTTGCAAATTAGTGTTTTTTTTTAAGATTTTAATTTCATTGCTCAAATTGGGTTAAAGAATGCCACCATAGGTTTAAACTATAGCTCCACTCAGTTTGTTTATCTTCATTGAGGGAATCAATCAAACAAAAAGATTACTGAATAATATTATAACAAAATAAAATAAAATGAAATAAAAATAAATCAAAAACTATTTTAAAATATTATTTTTGGTTATATTAAAATAAAATAAAATTATTATTTTTATTTGCCTATTTATTTATTTATTTGTTTGTTTTATTTATATGATGTAAAATGGGTTAGTTATTTAATTTTGATTTTATATTTAATAATTGTTCACCAGCTTTCTTTAAAGAATCATCATCTTTGCAAAAAGTGAAACGGACGAAATTTTCTGCTAATTTTGCATTTTCATCAGAATAAAATGCAGATGGTGGGATGGTAGTGACACCAATTTCGGTAGTTAACCAACGACTAACATTCCAATCACGTAAATTTAAACCCATGCCTGTAATTGAAGTATCTTTACCTTGACTACCTTGTAAATTAATGGATGATGTATCGCCCATAATGAAATAGGTTCCTTCTGGTACTACTGGATCTAAACCTGCGTCTCTAAGTGAGTTAACTAAAAGATCTCTTTTAGCTTGATACATTTGTGATAATTCTTTAAAGTAGTCTTTAATGTTTTTATCTTCAAAAGCGATAGCAACGGCTTCTTGGGTTGGTGTTGGTACACTAAATGGAATATATTGATGAGTATTGGCAATTGCTTTGATGATATTATCTGGACCAATGCACCATCCAACTTTCCAACCAGTAATACTAAATGTTTTACCAGCAGATCCAATGGTTACGGTTCTTTCAAACATATCTGGTAATGTTGCGAATCTAAAATGTTCATTATCATCGAAAATCATCCATTCATAAACTTCGTCGCTGATAACTGTGCAATTTGGATGCTTCTTTACTACATTTGCTATCTCTTGTAATTCTTGTTTGCTGTAAACCTTGCCAACTGGGTTGTGTGGATTATTTAAAATTAAAAGTTTGGTTTTGTCACTGAAAGCATTTTCTAATTCATCAGTATTGATAACCCAATCTTTTGATGATCTAGTAGCACTGCTGTTATTATCTCTTTCTTTTTCTTTAAGTGATACGTATTTTGGGATACCACCAGCCATAGCAATTGCGCCCATATAAATATCAAAAAATGGTTCAATTAAAATAACTTCATCACCTGGATTAACAACTGACATAATAGTTGCGAATAATGCTTCTGATGCACCGACTGATGTCATAATCTCTGTTAATGGGTTAATTTCTCTATTAAAATATGGTGAATAAACTTTTGATAATGCATTAACTAATCTTAAATGACCTGGTGATCTAGTGTATTGGTTAAATCCGCCTTTTTCGATAGTTTCGATCATTGCCTTCTTAACAAATTCTGGTGGTTCAAAATTTGGGAAACCCTGTCCTAAATTAATTGATTTATATTTAATTGAAAGTGGCGAAAATTCTTTATATAATAATAATAATAATAATAATAATAATAATAATAATAATAATAATAATAATAATAATAATAATTTAAATATTAATATATTAAATAGATTATTATTATTAATATCTTGTTTTTTTTAATTTACCCAACCATACTGATGGACCAAATGATGCGGTCTGAATACTTGGTTTAAAGTTATATGTCATTTTGGTAAAATGAGTTAGAGTTTTCCTAAACATTAGAAAAATAAAATTTTATATTTAAAAAAAAAAAAAAAAAAAATGATAATGAAAAATTTTATTTAGGTAGGTAAATATAAAAAAATAAAAAATTTAAAAAAAAAAAAAAATTTAAAAAAATAAAAAATTTTAATGGTAAAATTACATCTTTTATTAGTTTAATACATTTAAATGGTTTAAACTAAAATGTATTGCGTTGGTTTTTTTATATAATTAATTTATAAATAAATAAGCTTTTTTTCTAGTATGAATTTTTTTTGGGGTATATGTTAAATATATGTTTTTAAATATATATGAATAATTTAAATAATTGTTTAGTATTGATTAGCAGCATTTGAAACACCGTTGGCAACTCCTTGTTGAACAGCTGGATTACGAGCAATATTCATTGCACCTCTTTGAACAGCTGGGTTTTGAGCAGCATTTACAGCATAGCCACCCATTTGATTCATTTGTTGTTGTGATGGTTGTGGAACTGAGCCTGCTGGTCTTGGAACTGGATAAGTTGGTTTAAATTGGGTTGATTGTGGACGTGGAGGGTTTTGTTGTGGAGCGCCCCCATATTGACCTGGTTGTTGGTATTGTTGTTGTGGTTGTTGTTGTTGTTGGTCATATTGTTGGTCGTATTGTTGTTGATCATATTGTTGATCATATTGTTGTTGTGGTGGTTGTGAAACTCTAGCTCTTGATTGAGAATTATTTAATGAAAGACCATCGAGTGATGGTGGTTGTCCATTATTATTATTTTGTTGTGGGAAAATACTAACACCGCCTGGTGGAGGAGCTGGTCTAGATGGACCAGTTGGGGCTCCTTGGTATTGTTGTGGTGGTGGATACATTGGCTTGGCACCGGCTGGTGGAGCTGGTCTTGGTGGTTGAGCACCTTGGCCTGGTGGTGGTGATGGACGTTGTGGTGGGGCTCCATATTGACCTGCTTGTTGTTGTGGTGGTTGGTATTGTTGTGGTGGTTGATATTGTTGTGGTGGTTGGTATTGTTGTTGTTGATGTTGTTGTGGTGGTTGGTATTGTGGTTGGTATTGATTTGGTGGTGATGGCTGTTGATATTGGTTTGGTTGTTGGTATTGGTTATTGGCTTGTTGTGGTTGGTATGGTTGTGGAGCGGATGGTGATGGACGTTGTGGCATACCAGCTGGTTTATTCATTGGTGGTTGGTATGATTGTTGTGGTGGTTGGTATGATGGTTGTGATGGTTGTGAGGAATATGATGATTGGCTTGATGAGGATGTTTCACCGTCTGGGGAAGAAAGATTTGGAACACAATCGACTAACTCTTTAACTGGATTGTAATATGGTGGGGTTTGTTGAATAAGATGTGAATTTGTTTCATGACTTGTAGAGATAGTGGAGAAAAGACTTGAAAGAGACAAAATAATATTTTGAAGTGGCCAATCAAAGTAATCGATCTTATCTTCGAAAAATTGACTGATCTCACTCATGGCTTTAGAGTTGGCTGTTAAGAATGATTCTCTTTTAGCATTATAAGTATTTTGTTCTTGTTGTAATTTATGTAAATCTTTTGATGGTTTTTCTTTTAATGATTTAATTTTAGATGCACTCTTATCTACTTCATCTAATAATTTATCTCTATCGCTAACTGAATCTTTAATAAATTTAGATCTAGCAAGATATTGTTGAATATAATCATAGTTTGATTTATTACTTTGCTGTTATAATTGATAAAAAATATTAATATAAATAATATAATAAAATTTTAAAAAAAGGTTAAAATATTTACTGTCCATTCATTAAAACTAGCTTCAATGGTTTTATTGGCTTCAGTAGTATAGTTTGCTAATGGATGTGTATTTGGGAAATATTTTTGAATATTTTTATTTAAACTACTTGGATGAATAAAAGTTTCTTTAAAAATAAAATAATATTAGTATTTTTATAGATGTTTATAAATTAAAAAATAAAATAAACAACAATATATTTACTTTGTAAATTTTTGTCATGTTTTAATAAAGATTCATAGGTTTTATTAATAGTTTCTGTTAAAGTATTAAATTCCTTTCTTGCTGTTTCAAAATTTAAATCAACAGTTGATGGACCACTAGAAACTAAACCTTTTAACTTTACATAAAAAAAATTAGTATAAAATTTAAAAACCTATGTGTAGTTTATTTATCTATATATATTTTTATTTACCTTTGCTCCAAATGATTTCATAATTTTAAATTATTGTGTTTAATAAAAAAAAAAAAAAATTATATAAATAATAAAATTTAATAAATAAAAATAATAAATAAATAATAATAATTGTTGATTATTTAGTATAATGTGTGTGATTAGTGTGGCAGAAATAATTAATAAATAAAATAATGTTTTGATTAATGATTATTTTATAATAATAAAATTTTGAAAATAAAAAAAAATAAAAAAAACAAAATTATTGTTTTTTTAAAAAATTATTATAAAAATTTTTGACAGAGCCCCAAATTTATTAATTTGTAATTTATAGTAATATTTACAAAAATAACCCTCTTTAACAACAATGTAAAGAAATATTATTAATATAAAAAATTTTTATTAAAAAAAAAAAAACAATAACAAGAAAAAAAAATTTTATAAAAGCTTTGGGTATTACTGTAAAATTTTTTTTTTTTTAATAATTTTTAAAAACAAATTTAATGAAAATTTAAGAGGTGGTTAGGGTGTTTTCAGCATTCATAAAAAAAAAAAAAAAAATTAAATTTAAAAAAATTATTTTTCAGTTTATAATAAATAATTTGATTTTGTTTCTCGCTAAATAAGGAATCAATTCATCAAAAACTCTCGTAAAAAAACGTTAACGATTTTTTTCAAATAATTGTTTTTTTTTTGACGCAGATTTTTTGGAATTTCTGAAATTTGAAAAAAAAAAAAATAAAAAATGTAGCAACTATATATATAAGATTTATTTAAATGAAATATTTGCCCTTTATTTTATAATAAAATGCTTTTTTATTTTATTTTTTTTAGGATTCACCACAATTTTAATTTATTTATAGATTTAATATTAATGGATAAAATTTGTAATCAATCCCAAAAAAAAAAAATTATATAAATAAAAAAAAATATTTATTTTTTGTAAATTCATTTTTATATTTTTTTTATTCTTTTTTATTTGTTTTTTTTTTTAAAATCATTTTTTGAATCTGTTGTTGGATCAAAAAATGAAGTGTACCATTTTTTACTTTCAAAAAAGAATTCTTTAATATTGTATAAAACCCCACGGTGGAAAATATTCCATGTACCCTCTTTTCTTAAATATGCATATCTTGTTATATTTAAAACTTCGTTGAGTGTGCAGTTGAAAATGATACCTAAAATTTGGGCACTTAATAATTTTAAAATCCATATCCATGCTAAAAGGCCATAAATAAAGAAAATTGAAACCATTCTATGAGTATTATAATAATATTCGATAGCTTGGTAATATCCATCATCAAACAATGGTGCATTTTGGTCAAGTTGTAAAACTATATGAATAATTTAATATGTGTGTGAGTATATTATTTATATGATATTAAATTATATGTATATAATGAATATGATAATCTAAACCTATATAATCATTAAAAATTTATTTACACTTACATTTAATTACAACATAGTACATTGGAAAAGCAATAAAGCTATATAATGCTAAAATTAAAACAAATAAACGATGATTTGATGAACCAACGCAATTATTAACCCAAATACAGTGGTGATCATATCTTGCCACGCAATACTTACAAAATTTACAATGCTTTGCTCTTAATGGTTTATGAATCTAATATGAAAATATAAGTTCAAGTAAGTATTTTATATTAATTATAATGAATAGATAGTTTTAACTTACATCACAAGTTGGGCAAATATCGGGAATATTTTTTTGATTTTCTAAAAGGTTCATAAATTCGACAATATCTTCATTTGGATCAGACTTTATAACACCAGGATTTGTAAATGGTAATAAACATAAGCCATAAAAAAAGATTGAACTAAAAATTGTAATGGTTAAATGTGAAAAAACATACTGAGGGACATCTGTTTTAAATAAAGATTATTAATAAACAGTATAAGTTTAGTTTAAACTATAGAAATACTTACTTAATAAAATTTGACTAAAATAGGTCCAATAGCATATAAAACACCCAACAATCCACCAAGTTACAGGTAAAGGATTTGTATTGTAATCACCCCATAGATGGGTAAGGATGATACGACAAATGTTACCTAATATGATAATTGAGGGAATTGAAATATAATATTTGAAAGAGTACAAAATATAAAAGAATAAAAAGTTTCCTAAAAGAGCTAAAAAGATCCAAAATAAATTGTATACATTTTCTTTTTTAAGTTCAACCGAAGAAGTGGACTTTGTTTTTTGTTTCTTCTCGATGGATTGGGCTTTGGCTAGATAGGCAATACAAGGGTCTGTGGAACGGGTAAGAGCTAGTTCGTAAGGTGTTTTATTGTCGGCATCCAATAGATTTAAGTCTGCACCTTCTTCATGAAGTGCTTTGGTGCATTCAGTGTAACCTTTAAACGAGGACCAATGGATGGGGGTTCTATTAAGGTTGTCGATAGAGTTGATGTTGGCACCTTTGGTTAAAAGGAATCTGATTAATTTAATATTGCCTGAGAAAGATGCCCAATGAAGAGTTGTATGGCCTTCATTATCTTTACTAGTGACTGGAATACCTTTATGAATTAAATATCTGGCTATATTAAGATCTGTATGTGAGCTTGATAGTAACAAACAATTGTATCCTTTTCGATCTTTAAGTGATAGTTCCGCTCCACCATACTCTACTAAATAGTGAACTATATAAACATCCCCCGAAATACAAGCCCAATGAAAAGCTGTTTGCATCTCTTCTGAATTTGGTAAATTTGGGTTGGCTCCTAAAGATATTAAATATTTTACAACTGGTAAATGTTTTCTATATGCTGCCCAGTGTAGTGCTGTATTACCATTTACATCTAATGAGTTCAATATAATTTTAAACGAATAGTTACGATGTTGAGTTTTAATTTTTTGTACTGTTCCCTCCAATTCTTTAACATCACCATTTGCTGAAAAATGTACCAATTCACTAATTAACATTTCTTGTGTTGTCAAATTCTTTGTAAATTCTTCTTCATCGTAATCTGAATAGTCATCTGATTCGTTATTATTTTCATTATCGTTATTTTTACTATTATTGTTTTTGCTATTGTTACATTTGGTATTGATATTGGTTGTTTTTTTATCATCGTCATCTTCATCGTCATCATCATCGTCATCTTCATCTTCATCTTCATCGCTTATCCTCGAAGATAAATTTCTATTATAATGACCATTTTGATTTCCTTTATGACTATCTAGACTTTCTTCGTTTTCTAGGTTTTTTTCTGATTCATATTTATTTTTATTTTCGTGGTTTTTGTAATCTGCTGTATTCTTATTGGATGTTGTTGCAGTTGTCATTTTATTGAACTTTAAATTATTTATGAAAAAAAAAATTTTAATGCTATTTTTTATTTTTTTTATTTTTTTTTTTTTATTTTTTATATTTTTTTTTTTACAAATTTTTGAATATTTTTTATTTTTGTTTATTTATTTTCCTAGGAAGGGGGTATTTTTTATGTGTATTTATTGGTTATGAATGGAAAACTTTAAAGAAAGATTTTTTTTATTTTCTTTGTCTCTTTGAATTGAAAAATATTTAAAAAAGAAAAAAAAAAAAAAAAAAAAAAAAACAAAAATTAAATTTAAAAAAAAAAAAAAGATTTTTTTAATTTTAAAAAAATCTTTTTTTTTTTAAATAAAATAATTATAAAAAGGCAATATATAACCAAATAAATATTTAAATACTGAAAAAATAGGTTATTCCTTATGTACTATATTGATAAAAAAAGAAATATTAATTTTTGTAAAAATAAAGATATGTGATATTTATAAAATAATAAAACCTATAGAAGAAATAAAAATAAATGTATTATCTCTTTTATAACTTTATTTTCCAATAAAAAAAAAAAAAAAAAAAAAAAAAAAAAAAAAAAATTTTTTTTTTAAATTTAAAATATTAGGGCATTGATTCATCATTTTCTAAATTATTTTTACTTAAATTTTAAATATTTTCCACGCCACAATGATGCCCATTATGTTTTATAAAAAATATCATGATGATGTGAAGTTGTGATATTTATAAAATTTTATTTTATTTTTTTTTTTATTTTTTTTTTTTTAAATATATCAAATTGTGAATGGGGAAGGATAACAAAAAGCAAAAAATATTTTGATAGAAACAATAAAATGGTTAAATTTCGGAGGAAAAAATTTTTAAAACTAAAAAAGATATTAGAATTTAAATAAAAAAAATGAAAAAAAAAAAGTAGGAGGTGGTATTTTTTTTTTTTATATATACAATAATATATAAATATATTTATAAATATTTTATTTTACAGAAGAAATTTATATATTATATAATTGCCATCAGACTGTTAAACAATTGATGATGGCAATTTTTTAGTGAAATATTGTTCAATTGTATTTGGAGACGAAACTTGGGTTTGAGGGCTCGATATTTTTTTAATTGATTTTGATGATTTGGGTGTGGCATTTAAACTATTATTACTGTTGTCGTTTTCATTGTCATCATTCCTATTTTTGATTTGAAACCCTTCAAAATCTGTGATTCTATAATAAAAACTTAATTAGTAATTTTTTTTTTTTTTTTTTGATTTATGATTTTATATATATAATAATTACTTTGTTGTTTTGTTTGGTGATAAAAATGAATTATTTCCATTTAAAGTCTCTTGAAACTTTCTTTTAATTCCTGTTATTTCATTTGGGTCATTTGTTTCATTTGTTTCATTTGGTTCATCTGGTTCATTTGTATTGTTTATATCCAAGTTTTTATTGTTTTCAATTGGTAAATTGGAGTCGTTTTTATTATTGTTTTGATTATCGCTTGTTGTAGTTGTATTTGTTATTTCTTTTGTATTTTTTAAATCTGTATCTATATTTATATTATTTTTAGAATCATCCTGTAATGGGTGATTTGAGTCGGTAGAAAAATTACATGAATTATTATTTGAATCCATATTATTATTATTAATATCGGTATTATAATTGCTTTTATTATTACTATTACTATTTGTATTATCAATATTATTATTATTGCTATTATTGTTATTGTTATTAGTATTGTTATTATTGCTATTACTGTTATCATTGTTATCATTATTATCATTATTATTATTATTATTATTATTATTATTATTATTATTATTATTATTATTTCTTAAATTTGATTGATTTAATTGATAGTTTTCAGGTGTTGTTGATGGTCTTAATTTACCACCATTTTTTCCACCATTAAGAGTTGGACGATAACTTGATGATTCATTATTTATTGGTATAAAATCTATATAAGCTTTACCATATAAACCAATTCTAGCACGACCTAATACTGGTGGATAATTATGATTAACAAAAATATAGCCTTGGTTTAATGATGGATAAATTGGTTTTCCCATTGAGTTGTAATGATTTGGTTTGGTTGGAGGAATTTTAGCAATTTTTTGATTAAATTCGATATCACTTTCATCGTCAGTTTCGCTATCTGTAGTTGAATCCTCTGAATCAAATTCATCAGATTCATAATAATCATTTGAAGTTGGAACTGAAATTGAATTAAAGTAATCGATATCTCTTTTTCTTTTTTCTCTTTCTTTTTCATCATCAATTGGTTGTTCAATCATAATAATATCTGAAGTTGATGGTGTGGAGGTTGATAAGTTGGTTGATTTTTCTGATGGAGCTGCTGTTGTTGCTGTAGTTGTTGTGGGTGTGGTTAATGGTAAATTTGGTGTAGTTAAAGATGACGACGATGATGATGATGATAATTGTGATTGTTTTTGATCGCTATATTGTTTTTCAAGTGATGCTGTTGGGTATTCCCCTGGTTTTACAATGAAATGACGATAGCCTTCTTGACGAGCCTTACCATTTGCTAAAATTAGTGGTTGTGAATCTCTATTGATAAAGGTAGGACCAGTTGGATTCTCTTGTAATTGAAGTATGGCTTGAAGGGTTGTTGAAGTTTCATTAATGTTGCCCTCTTTGTTGGTGGTACCACTACTTGCAATAGCACGCTCATCCCTGTCTTTTTTCTTTTTATGTGATGATGAAGAATGCACAGATGAAGCTGTATTTGAGTTTTGATTTACACTTGATTTCTCTGTGATTGGAACAATTGGTAAATCATCTTCTTCCTCTTTCTTAATTTGAGCCAAGTCAACCAATTTTTCATATAATTCTTGAACAACCAATAAATAATCTTTTTTTAATTTCTCTCTCTTTTTTACCATTTCCGATATAATTCTTGTGCGTTCTATTTCCTCTCTTAATTGTGTCATCTTTAGTAATGAAGCAGCATCGTTCTTTCTTGCCTTCTTTAATTTATTTGTATCAATTTCTCTTGCACGAAAAGCTTTAAATGGTGAGGGATCTTCTCTGTCTGGTGGCTTTAAAAGTCTACGTAAAAATGTATTATTAACTAAATGCTGTTTTCTTTTATTCTGCCAATATTGATATATTTGTTGAGCAAATGCAGGTCTAATTCCTTTACAAATGGCCTCAGCTCTGGTTTGGTCACATTTCCCATAATAATAAAATTCCTTTTCAAATCGATCCATAATCTCTTCGAAACGGTCTAATGTTAATATTGGTTTTTTGGATGGTGGATAGTTGGTTGAGTTCATCGCATTCTTATTAATTTGATTAACCAATTCTTCGTCATCACTATCTAAATCGTATTCTGTAATTTCATCCATCTCTTCATCATTTTTGTCGTGATATAATATATAAGTTTGTCCCATTCCAAATGGGCTAGGGTTGGGCGCTGTGTCATAGCCATCCACTATATTTACAATTGGAATTGGAATTTCTGGTAATTCATCATGTTTCATCTTTACTGATGCTTGAATAATTTCCTGTAAATGTAATTCTGATTCTTCTGCCTGGTCCATACCCGTTGATACAATTGGTAAAAATCTAAAATCTTGTGCTTCATCATCATCCAATGCTGTTCTTATAATTGGCATTGGCTTAGAAATATCAATTGGTCTTGGTCTAAATGATATTCTTTGTCTCATGGACCCACCTCCTGATTCTCCCCTACCTGCCATCTTGAAAAACTATTTGATATAAAACTATACCAAAATATTTTATTCGTTTCCTATTATTGATGAAAAAAAAATCTATTTTACATTTCGATTTAAAAAATTGGATTAATATTCTATTTTTAGATTAATTTTGAAAATTAAAAAAAATAATTTTATATTTTATTATTTTATTATTATTTATATTATTGTTGATATTATTGTTGTTATTATTGTTGATGTTGTTATTATCCTTATTATTGTAATAATATATAGTGTTGCAGTTTTTTAAATTAAAAAATAATAATCTTACCTTCAATATTTTTTTTATAAAAAAAAAAAAAAAAATTTGAATTTTAATTTTTTTTTTTTTTTTTTGTTTTTTATTAAAATTTTTTTAAATTTATGTTTTGTGTGGAAAAAAAAAAATTCCCAAAAAAAAAAAAAAAAATTTTTTTAAAAATTTTTAAAATTGGGGTTTACTTTTGGGGGAGGAGGTTCCCCCGGGGAAAACCCTTTGGTCCCCGGAATTTTCAATTTGGGTTTTTATTTTGTTTTTTTTTTTTAAAAAAAAATTTTTTTTAAAAAAAAAAACTGTTTTTTGGAAAAAAGAATTTTAAAAAAAATTTTTAAATTTAAAAAAAAAAAAAAAAAAAAAAAAAAAAAAAAAAGTTTTTACAAAATTGAGTTTACCCCCGATCGAGATATATTTATAATAAATAAATATATTTTAAAATTTTATTTTGGCATTGTAATTGGTTGTTAGTAAGTTTAAAATTATTTGGGTTATTATTTGAATGGTTGTTATTATTATTTTATTGATTTTTGAATGTGAAAAGTTCTCTCCTGATCTAAATTGGTTATGAACTTGCCTCGTCGTTATTGCACATTTATGTTTTAATTGAAGTGTTTTGAGTCATTTTTATTATTAAATCTATTAAATTGGGTCTAAAAGGTTTGGTTATGAAAGCATCTCCACCAATGTCATCTGAAGAGTTATTTCCTGATTTAATAATTGATTCATTACCACTACAAATAATGATTGGAGTACGTTTTCGATTATTTGATTTTTCAAATTGACGGATCATTCTAACACTGTTAATACCGTTGACAACAGGCATATAAATATCCATGATTACTAGTTCAAAGAATGGAGTTTCGCAATACATTTCAAAAGCTGTTTTCCCATTGGTCGCAATTCTAACATCAAAGTTTTTCCTTTCGAGTACGTTCTTTACGATTGAGGCTTGAAATTTTTCATCTTCCCCTAATAATATTAATGGTGAGTGTTTTTGGCGCTCTAAAATTGATAATCGTAAACTTGACCTATTTAGCTGAATTTGATCTTCACTTGCCATGGTTTTATTATTATAGCGATTATGTAATTCTTGTAAATTTATTAAATCATTATTGTTATTACTATTATTTACACAAATATCTATATTGAATCTTGATCTTCTACCTGACCTATTATTATTACTAATATATAGCTGTGAATCTTTTGAGCACATATATGGATATAGGCATAATGCATTCTCGACTTCAATAAAGTTTGATTGCCTTAAATCCAAATGTTTAAATTTTCTTAATAATTCCTTTTGATTTGAAAGTGCTTTTAAAAATTTAGGTGTGATTCTATTGTATCTAATTGATAATGATGTTAGGGATTGAATTTTTATTAGGTCATTTGTACTATCAATATTTTTTTGATTTGTTATTAAACTATTATTATTATCTATATTATCTATATTATTATTTTCTTTATCGCTGTTTTCATTATTTAATGTTATTGTACCAATTGATTCGTCATCAACTAAACAGTATGATATATTTAATGTTGTTATGCTGGAGTTATTTTCGACTAATGGTTTAAATGAGTTGGGTGCTTGAAGTAATGTACAGTGTGATAGATGTAAAATTTTTAATGATTTAAATTGTGAAATATATTTAATTGCTTCGGATGATATATTATTGCAATGATTTAATTTCAAAAGTGTTAAACCCTTTAAATGCTTGAAATACTTGGTATCCCTATCACTAATATTGTTTTTTGATAAAATTAAATTTTTTAAATTTTTTAAATTTTTTGATATATTCCTAAAAAATGTGGGTGTAAGTATGATATTTATTTTAAGAACCTTAATAATAAGTATATTTACTTAAATCCTTTTGAAGTTATATTTGTGCAACCTCTCAAGTTTAAAGTTTCTAATGTTATTGATATATTATTTGTTTGTTCGAAACTTGTAAATTCTAATAATGTGCAATATGATAGATTTAAAGATTTTAAGCTGTTTACCTTGTTGAGAAAATGGAATAATAAACAATCTTCTATATTATTAAATGAGAGGTTTAATTCTATTAAGCTATAGTAAATATTGTTATAACTATTATTATTTTTTTCTTTTTGAATAAAATTATTAAAATTTATCATATCTTCGTTACTGAGGTCTAAATAGTTTATGTTGGAGTCTAATAAAATTTGAAATATTTGATCGTTTAATTTCCATCTTTCAATATTTTTCAATATTTTTAATAAACTTTCTAATATATCTGAAGGTAAATATTGAATCCCAATTTCTTTTAGTATATTGTTATTAATGCTATTGTTTCTATTATCATTTTCTTTATTACTATCGATATAGTTATTTTTAATTATTTGAATAATTGAGTTTATACAATAGTCTTTTAAGCATAACATTGCTAATTAAATATTTTATTTTGAACTATATATAAACTACGAATGTATTAAGTTTATTTTAATTGCTTTTCTATATACTATTTTTATTTTATTATTACAAGAGAAACAAATAAATAAAAAAGATATTTTTAATTAAAAAAACTTATAAATAAATAAATAAATAATAAAAATACAAAAGTGTGATTTTAGTTTATATATTGAGAAAACAAAAAATAAAAAACAACAAAATTTTTTTAAAAATTTTTTTTCTTTTTTTATTTTTTTTTTATTTTTTAAAAAATATATTTTTTTATTATTTTATTATTATATTTTTAATTTTAGAAAGTGGTGTGTTTATATGTTTATGTGTTAGTATATTCATTGAAATATATTTAATTAGTTTATATTATAACAAATAAAAAAAAAAAAAAAAAAAAAAAAATTTCTTTTTTAAGTGTGCAATTAATTTAATATAAAAAAAACTAATTTCCAACATTCTTTTTATATTAAAAATAAAAGCAGGAAATGATCTAACTTTTTCGTTATTACCAAAAAAAAATGATTTACTTTTTGGTTGCTATTATCTGAATTAAAAACCATGACCTGTTCGAAAAAATTAGTTTTAGCATAGATCTACCTCCATAGCGCCACGAATCCCTAAAATTTAATATAAAAAAAACAATAAAAAAAATAAAATAAAAAAAAATAAAAAAAAGTAAATTTTTTTTTAAAAACAAAATTAATTTTATTGTAATTTTTTAATTTTTTTTATTTTGGATAAATATTTAAATCATTTTTTTTTTTAATTGTTTTTTTTTTCTTTTTATTTCTATCACTATAAATACACATCTATTTTTATTTATTTGTTTATTTATTCATTTTTATTTATACATATCTACAATTATATTTTATTTGTTTATTTATTTGTTTGTTTATTTATTTATTTGTTTATTTGTTTTTAATCAAATTTAATTAATACAATGCCAAACGAAAATCCATATGATTTTGGCGTTTTATCAGTCCCAGATGATTTGGATAGAGATATAGAAAAATTAAGAAATATTTTATGGGAATCAATTAAAGAATTAGAAGAAGATGGCGAAGAAATTATTAAAAAAGCATCAGAGTTAATATTAGAGACCCCACCCAGTGAAAGAACTAAAGAATTTATTGACCAATATACTCATAAAATATCATCGCTTTCAAATGTAGATTCATTAAAGATTTCAAGAATTTTCTCCCAATTTTTAAATTTAATTAATGTTGCAGAACAACATCATTTAATTCGTTCAGTTCGTAATACATTTTTAAATGGTGAACAACTAAACTATTCATGCGAAGAAGTATTTGAACAGCTACTTTCAAAAGGTTTAACACCTGATCAAGTTTATGGTATGTGGTATAATAAAATAAATTTATAAAAAAAAAAAAAATAATTATTAGTTACTAATTTTTTTATTAAAAAGATGCCATTTTAAAACAAAATATCGAATTAGTATTAACTGCTCACCCAACTCAAATTATGAGAAGAACTATGATTTCGAAAAACAATGCAATTGGTGAAGCTTTAGCTCTTATCGATAATAAAACATTAACAGGCTTTGAAAGAGAAGATGCAAACAAATCATTATTAAGAGAAATTGGGGGCTCATGGTTAACCGATGAAATTAGAAGAAGCAAAGTTACTGTTGAGATGGAAGCCCATGGTGGTTTTTCTGTTATCGAACAAACTTTATGGCAAGCTATACCAAAATTCATAAAGATTTTAGACCGTTGTTGTGAAAAATATTTAAAAAAGAATTTACCACCCGCTTTTGTAAATGTTAAAATCGCAAGTTGGATGGGTGGTGATAGAGATGGTAATCCAAATGTAAATGCTGAAACCACTAAAAGCATTTCATATTTCTCTCGTTGGATCGCCTCCACTCTTTACTATAAAGAAATTGATGCTCTCTTATTCGAATTATCAATGATCAAAAAGAACAAGAAATTAGAAGAATACTCCAAGCAATCAATGGAAAGAAGACAAGGCAACAAACTAAGGTATTTAACAACTCTTTATAAAGAATTTAAAGAAGGTATTCCAAGCAGAGAATGTTATCGTATTGTTTTAGCAGAGATTAGAGATAAAATGTTATTGACCAAAAGAAAATATGAGGACCTTATTGCTGGTCTACCAGTCAACTATGCCCCAGGAGATACCTATGAATATGCATCCGAGGTTTTAGAACCACTTCAAATTTGTTACGATTCTTTAGTTGAAGTTGGTGCCGAATCAGTGGCCAATGGTCGTCTTTTAGATAATATTAGACGTTTAAGTTGCTTTGGCTTAACACTTTCAAAGATGGATATTCGTCAAGAATCAAGTAGACACACCGATGTAATTGACTGTATTACTCAATATCTTGGATTGGGTAGCTATAGAGAATGGGATGAAAAGAAGAAACAAGACTTTTTAATTTTAGAATTGGAAAACAAGAGACCATTGATTCCAGATGATTTACCATGCTCACCTGAAGTTAAAGAGGTGCTATCAACATTTAAAATGGCAGCTAATCTTTCAGATGAATCATTAGGGGCCTATGTTATTTCAATGTGCCAATCCCCATCCGATATTCTTGCCGTTCATCTTTTACAAAAAGAAGCAGGTAACAAACACCCACAAAGAGTTGTTCCATTATTTGAAACTGCTACCGATCTTGACAATGCACCCAAAACAATGGAGGCCCTTTTCAAATTACCATGGTATATCAAAGCAATCAGTGGAGAACAAGAAATTATGTTGGGTTATAGTGATAGCGCTAAAGATGCAGGTCGTTTAACATCTGCATGGGAGTTATACAAAGCTCAAGAAATTTTAGCAAATTTATGTGATAAATTTAATGTCAAATTAACTCTTTTCCATGGTCGTGGTGGTAGTATTGGTCGTGGTGGTGGTTCAGCTCACGAAGGTATTATGTCCCAACCTGGTGGTTCACTTAGAGGCACCATTAGAATTACTGAACAAGGCGAAACTATCAACTCTCATTATGGACAATTGGGTGTTGCATTACGTACTATCGAACTTTATACAACTGCTGTTCTTAAACAAACATTAACTCCACCTCCACCACCAACCGATAAATGGAGAGAGATAATGGAACACCTTTCCATGGCATCATGCAAAAAGTATAGATCAATTACTAAAGAAAATCCAAACTTTATTAAATATTTCCGTACATCAACAGTTCAACCAGAAATGATCCATTTAAATATTGGCTCCCGTCCATCTAAACGTGCAGCCCAATTCTCAGTTGACTCAATTAGAGCTATTCCATATATCTTCTCTTTTACACAGAATAGATTAATCCTTCCAGTTTGGTTAGGTATCGAAGAAGCCATCAAAGAAGCCAAATCTAAAAACTGGGAAGATAATTTAAGAACGATGTACAATGAATGGCCATTCTTTAGAACCCTTATAGATTTAGTTGAAATGGTTCTCATGAAGACTGATCCACAAATTGCCCAAAGATACAACGAACTATTGGTACCCTTTGAAAACCAATCATTGGGTGAAGAGTTGGTTAAAGAACTTCAAATTACTATTGATGCTGTTCTTGGTCTCACTAAACATAAAACTCTTCAAGAAGATAATCAAATTCTTCAACACTTTGTATCTATTCGTCGTTCCTACATGGATGTATGTAACTATATCCAAGCAGAAACCCTTAGACGTTTAAGATCTTCTCATGTCGATTCCCAAGATCCATTATTAGTTGATACACTAATCATCACTTTTAATGGTATTTCATCTGGTATGAAAAATACTGGTTAATAATTTAAAAATAAAATTATAATAAAAATTAAATAAAAATAAATCTAATAATAATTTATAAACAACAATTAATAATTAAAGTATTATATATAATAATGCATGGTTTTTTTTTTTTTGGAAATTTTTTTTTTATATATTTTTTTTATTTGTTTTTTTTTGGATTTTTTTTTTTGTGTTTTTTTGTTATTTGTTAAAAGCCCTATAATCGATTATTGAGTATATTTCTTTTAAAAACCCTAGAATCTTTCGCTAATACGACTAGCAACAGTTCTTAACTTGGCATAAACTTTACCTGGTGGTGAACCAATAATTAAATCACAAATTGCATCTTTAGCAACTCTGATATTTGAATATGAACCTAAAATATGAATACGTCTAAAATAATAGTAATAAATAAATTAATATTTTCATTAACTGCCAAACCAATGCTAAACAATAAAACTTACTTATCAGCTAAAACAATTCTAGTTTTTGTAACATTTTCGATTGTGAATTTGGTTTTACCATCTTTACCAGCAACACGACCAATAGCACGAGATAAATTATCACCCTTTAAAATTTTGACATCTTCAACGTCAAATGAATCTATATATAAATCGTCTAATCTTAAAATTGCAACAGCATCCTAAAATAATAAAAGTATCAATATCTATATTCCATATGATTTGATAATTATAATAATAATAATAATAATAATAATAATAATAATAATAATAATAATAATAATGGTATTAAATATTTACATTAACATCGAAACCAAGTGAAAATGCGTGAACAAAATCAGCAGCTTTTTGAAGTGATGAGGTTTCTTTAGTTGATTTTGATGTTTTAATTTCTACTTTTCTTGTTTTTGTGTTCATTCTAATTTGTAATTTAAGATGTGTAACGATTGGTTCGTAAATTTGTTGCCAGTTGGCTTTTAATGGTGCAATTCTGTTAAATGGTATAGTGACCTTTCTAATTTGTTCATCGGCCTAATTTTTATTAATTTGAGTTTATGTAATAATAATATTGTAGATTATAATCGAAATTGTGAGGTTTTTTTTGATATTATTTGAATATTATATTATAAATTTTAAATGAAATTGTTAATATTTATTTTTTAGCTAATTTTATATTTTTAAAAAGAAATAATTTACAGTATCCTCTATAGTAATTTGTGGGAATGATGTCTTTTTAACATTACCACCATCTTCTTCAACTTCGTCCATTTCTTCATCTCTGGATCTTTTATTTGTAACTTTTTTAGTTTCTGTATTTAATGATTCTTCTGAGATAACATTTTCTTCTTTATCTGTCATTTTTTCTTTTATAATATATGTTATTTATTTATTTTTTTGTTATTATATATATACAATTATTTGGTAATTCTGATTTTTTTGAATGTATATTTCTCTACAGATACGAGTAAAAAAAATTAATCAAAACGAAGCTTTTTTTTTTTATAAAAAAACGAAAAAAAAAAATTTTTTAAAATTTTTAAAAATTTTTTTTTATTTTTATTTTTTTTTTATTATTTTAATTTTTTTATTTTTTAATTTTATTTTTAATTTTATTTTAATAATTTAAAAATATACTTTTTTTATACAAATTTTAATTTAACTTTAAATGATTATAATCCAATCAAGATATTACTTACTTTTTAATTCTTTTTGTCAACCATAGTTGTTTTTTCTTTAATATTTATTTGAAATGAAATTTACAATTAATTTTTAAATCAAAAACCCCCATTTTTTTTTTTATTTTTTTTATTAAATATTAATTTTAAATTAATTTTTTTTTTTTTTTTTTTATTAATAAAATTTTTTTCTTTTTTTTTTATTGTATTATACCCCTTTTATATTAATATACTTATAATTATCAAAAGATAAATAAAAAAAAAAAATGACAGAGCAATATATCTATGAAGTTACTGTTGATGTAGATGTTACAATTCTTGATGCATGGAAAACATGGATCGTTGATCATGTTAATCGTAAGTAAAAATTAAAATAAAAAAAAAAAAAATAAAAAAAAATGATCAATGATACTTATAAAAAATATTCATTATAGACATTGTAAATTTGGAAAAAGGTAATTTATTCAGCAAATCAAATATTTTTGAAGTAAATACAGGACTCCTAGACCCAACTACATGCACCAAAGGTCGTCCAATTTCATTTGTTATTCAATACTGGGCTACATCAGCTAATTCAATTCCAACTTATATCCAAAAGTATTCAGATGAATTAAGAAAAGATGGTCTTGAAAAGTTTGGTGATAAAATGAAGGCATCCAGAAGAGTTTTGGTAGAAAAGAAATCAATTCATAACCCACCACAAACATCAACCTTTGGATATGTTTTCTAAACATACTATTTAAAATTCATTCTTTTATCAAATCAAACAAATCATAATAATAAAAAAATAAAAACAAGTTTTAATTTAAATACAAAATAAAAAAACCAATGTTAAATAAAAAAAAAAAAGAAGTTTTAATATTTAAAAAACAACTTATATAGTTATTTTATATTTTATTAAAAAAATTAAGGTTTTATGATTATATGTCTATATAGTTTTATGAGTATATGATTATTAGTTATATTAAAATAATTATTTTACAATTTTTGATAATAAATAAATAAATAAATAAATAAATAGATTTAATAAATAGATTTAATTTAAAAAATTTCATCTCTGATTGGGGGCAAATGGATAAAGTTTGCAGAGTTTTCAACAGATGGAACATTTTGTAAGGATGGGGATGATGGTTTAAACAAAAGGTCACAGCTTGGGAAACTTGTTGCCTTTTTATAACCTAATGGTGGTAATGAAATCATTGATGGTGACGAGGAGGATGAGTCCATAGATCCACAATGGGTTGGTGATGATGGTGATGATGGTAAAGATGGTGAGGAGACACTTGGTGATTGTTCAGGGGATTGTACTTTGGCAGTATTTTTAATATTGTAGTGATTAATAAAACCGTTGTTTTGATTGTTAAGTATTATATTGGAGGCGTTATTGCAGTTATTGTTATTATTAATATTATTATTGTTATTAAATACAATATTATTGTTATGGTTATATAAATGTGATTGTTGGAAGAATTGTTTTTGATGCATTTGTGTTAATTGTAAGATTTGTTGTTGTTGCATTTCAATTTGGTATTTTTGTTGTTCAATTTGTTGTTGTTGAATTACAAGCTTTTCTCTTTCATTGGCCTTATCCCTTTCTAAATTTTGCTTTTCTATCATTTTTTGATATTGTCTTTTTAAGAGTCTTTGTTCTAATTCTAATTTAATATTATTGGAACTGGTATTGTTTTCGGAAACAATATTTGGACTATTTGATGATAGAACAGGGGATGATTGTGGCGAATTTTTATTACCATTTATTTTAGGTGATTGTGGTTTATTGGTAGCTTGTGGGACTTGGTAATAAGAGAATTTTAAAGTTGGACTACTGGAGCCACTACCTGGTACAACTAGTGATTTTGTCTTTTTTACACTTGGTGATTGTCTGCCGCTCTCTGTTGAAGGTCCTTCATTTGATAAACTTATTTGATCCATTTGAGAAGCTCTTGGGATATGAGCCAACTTTGGACTTGCAGTTTTTGGACTTGATGTTTTTGGACTAGAAACCTTTGGACTAGAAACCTTAGGTGATGAGTTTCTTGGGGTACTATTCTTTGGTATTGATGGATCGGTGATGATAAAATCCCAGGTTGGAACTTTAAAATTTAAATTCATATTTGACATTTTACTAATTAATTAATTATAAAAATACAATTATATAAATACAATTTAAAATAAATATTAAATATATATAAAATGAATGATTTAAATAAATAATAAAAATATTATTACTATTATTACTATTATTAAACAAATACAGTGTTGAGTTTGAATTATAATTTTTTTTTTTTTTTTTGGTTATTTATTAAATTTATTATTTAAAAGAATGAGGTCATTTGTATTTTTTTTTCTGATCTATTTATAAAAAAAAAAAAAAAACTTTTTAAAATTGAATAAAAAAAAAAAAACAGACTTCCCAAATTAAGAGTTTCATCCATTTGTGTATTTTAAACTTTATATTATACAATGACCCTCTTTTTTTAATTTAATATATAAATAAATACATATTTTTTATCAACAACAAAAACAAAACTCTTATAATTTTAAAAAAATTTACTAAACAACATCATCACTTTTAAGTTGGTGGGTTATAAATAATACAATGTGCATGAGTGTGTGGGTTTTTTTTTTTGTTATATTAAAAATTTTTTTTTTTTAAAATAAATACATATTGAAAAAAAAAAAAATCGATCTTTGTGACACATTTTAATAATGGGGTTGGTATTTTCTTTTTTTAAATTTATATAATCAAGTTCATTTAGGGAATTTGAGATAACATAGGTGATTCAAAAAAACTTTTTCATACTTATATTTAAATCAAAGTTTTATTTATCATCTATATTCCCTGTATTATTTCCACACAAGCCTAAAATAACACCTATTACCACACAATATTGTTGTTAAATTCATCTTTTCAAAAAAAAAAAATAATAAAAACTAAAAATACATCCCCCATAAAACACACAGTAGCTTAAAAACCCAAAACTATTGTTTATCTATAAAGTGGTTTTTTTTTTTTATTGAAAAAAAAAAAAAAACAATATGCCTCTATATAATAGTTGGTATTATAATAAATTATTGTTTAATTAAAGTTTTAATTATATTTTTTTGTAGGTTTATTTCTATTTTTGTAAAATTTTTGAGGTAATTGTTGTTTGAAGGATTTTTCTCGTTCAATATTCAATTATTAAAAACACCCAAATTTTTGAAAAAAAAAAATTTTCAAAAAAATATAAAATATAAAAATTTTTCAATAAAAAAAAAACCCCACTTGTGTGGGGACTAACCTCCTTTTAGTCTAAAATTAGAGGAATCAATAATCTCCAAATGAAGATACCAAAATTGATATTAAAAATAGCTATGGTACTGTAGGGTGGTAATCCCATATGAATCACACATTCCTAATTTGTGCACATTTTGTTAAAAAAATTGATCACAAAAATTCAGCTTTTTTATAAAAAATAATTTGAATAGTGAGTTTTCATATAAAGTTTGGGTTTTAAAAAAAGTTTATCCTTTTTTTTTATATATATGTTTTTATAAACTACCACCCGCATTCTTTTTTTTATAACAAAATTTTATATTTATTTGTAAAATAAAGGTGGTTTTTTTTTTTTTATAATAAAAAAAACCTTTGTTATTTTAATAGATTTATTAATTTCTAAATCAAAACAAAACAACAAAAAATTCGTTTTAAAAACTACAACACAATTATACTCACCCCCAAAAGAATCTGTGTTAACATTTACTTGTGCTACACAAAAACCCATATATTAATTAAGTAATTTAAAAACATTTAAAAAATATGTCATTAAATTTCAACATCATAAACACACTATCCAAAATTATACATTTTATTATAATTTTATTTACTTTTAGAAAAGCATATTAAAAACTTTAATTATTATAAAGTCAAAATAATATGGAGTTTTTTTTTTACCTGTTACGATAAAATAAATATAAATAATTATTATAATAAACACTTTGTGTTTGCTTTATTATTTATAGGTCAAGTAAAAGCTAAAAATAATAGTTTCATATTAATTTTTGATATAATGTTTAATAAGATGAAATCCCTTTTTTTTTTTTTTTTAATTTAATTTTAACTTTTTTTGGTTAATAAACGACGTTCTATTCAAAATCCATTAAAATTCATGAAAAACCCTATTATCATAAAACAATTGAAAAAATGTTATTATTTTAAATTTAAATTGAATTTCAATTTTTTTAGAATTAAAACACATAATCGATATTTAAAAGAATTATAATAGATTTAATTAATAAATTTTAGATCAAAAAACGATAAGATTGATTAAATGTTTTATTCTAATTTTAACTATGATTGCCAAATTTTTACTTTATTATCTCTTTTATTTGATTCGACCCGTTTTAAAAATAGTTTATTAAAAAAAAAAAAGTTTAACCTTTCAATATTATTTGTTTAATATCAAAATTAAAAAAAAAAAAATAAAAAAATATTACCATACAATTTTTTTTTTTTATTTTTAATTTTTTAAATATTCATGTATATTTTATTTATTTGATTAAATTATAAAAATATATTTATTTTTATATTTTTTGTAAAAGGAAGATATTTTTTTTGATTCTTTCAAACATATTCTTTCTTTTTTCTTATTTATTTGAATATTTTAATTTACTTATTGACAGAGCACACAGTCAAAAAAAAAAAATTAATTTTTTAATTTTTTTAATTTTTTTTAAATTGTTTTTTAAATTTAAATTAAAATTTTTTTTTTTTTAATTTTTTATTAAAGTTTTTAAAAACAAATGAATATATATAAATAATATCTCTTTTTTTTTAATGCAATTAAAAAAAGAAAACTCAAAATCATAAAAAAATAAAATTTACGGCTTTTTTTTTTATAAAATTTTTTTTTTTTTTCGTAAAAACAACTTTTTTTTCATTCTCAAATATCTCCCCAGAAGAAAAAAAAAAAAAAAAAAAAACAATTCTGTTCAACTGTATTTCTGTTTGAAATAAAGATGGAATTCGAAAAACAACAAAATAAAATATCAGATTTTTCTTCTCCATCCTATGTACCAAGGTCGATTGTACTTGATATTATAAATAGTATCGTTGATACCATTCCAAAATTTAAAGAAAGAAATCATTTTTTCTCACATTCATCCAAAAGAGAGGAAGAAAATAACCAAAAATCAATACAATACCACTCAAATAGAATAATAGTAAAAGATTTATTAAATATAAATAACGAAAATATAAATAATGATAAAATAATTTATAAAAATATAATCAAAAATAATAATAATAATAATAATAATAATAATAATAATAATAATAATAACAATATAGATAGTAATAATAATGAAATTTATATTTGGCAATTAAAAGTTTTAAAACAAAGAAAGAATGATAGTTGCGGTTATTATAGTTTATATAATTCGTTGGTAACCATTGAATAGTTGTCTTTGAGAAGGAGTTTGAAGAGGCCCAACCTCTCCTTTTTACCCAAATTAGAAAAATAGAACCATTATTTTTGGTATTTATACTGGGGAAAACTATCAAATTATTTTTAGAGAATGCAAAAACCAAGAAAAGAAAGTTATATCCATGGAGCGAAAAGTATATATTAAAAGGTGTATTGGAAAGAACATATATAGATTATTTATTTGAAAGTAAAAATATGATAAGCGAACAACACTATCCCATTACAGTGCTTCCAGATTGGGCAATTCAGTCATTAAAGAACAACAGATTACCAATTGAAGAAATAGGAGAAATGGAAAGAATATCGCAATTGTTCAAGAAAAATAATAACTACACCCATGTATTTATGATAGGCCAAGCTGTTCATTGGATGACCATTGTAATCAATAAAGTTGGTTCCCACTCAGAGCTTATTCTCATCGATAGCAGAAACCATGACCTTTTAGGTTCAACAGACGAACAAATTATGCAACTTGTAAATAAACACCCAGAACTATCTGAACATATGAGAAAAAGTTATTTATTCTCTTTAAGTGAACCAAAGATAATGGTAGATATACTCAGAGATTGCATGTTGGGTGATGGTGATATAACTAAAACCTTACTCGAATTAAATTTAAGAGGTTTCCTTGAGAATTATTACGCCCATGTAAATAATAATAATAATAATAATAATAATAATAATAATAATAATAATAATAATAATAATAATAATAATAATAATATAAATAATAGTAATAATAATAATAATATGAATAATAATAGTTTAATAAATAATTGTAATAATAATAACAATATTGCAAATATAATAAATAATATAAATAATAATTGTATACTATATAATCCAGCATCAACTATTCAACAACAATTAATTTATTGGTTAGAAAACTATTGGCCACCATCAGTAATCGAATACAATATTTGCCAAGTTTTAGATATAATATTAACATCAAAAGAAGATATCGATAAATATTTAGAGTGTCATATTTTAGAGTCATTATCGATATGGATCAAATCAACCTCGGACCATTTAAAGAATCATTCAGATATTAAATTAATTCAAAGATTTTCAATTACAATGGGTTGGTTTCATAACAAATTTCATATGACATTTCAATAAAAAATAATTAGTTTTATATAATATTTTTATTCAAAAACCAAATAAAAAAAAAAAAAAAAAAATAGTTATTTTACTTTAAACAAAAAAATTAAAATATTCCCCTTTTTATTTTAGATATAACAAAATTTGACAAAACTATTATTTATCTGTATATTAGTAATTTTTTAATAAGTCATAATTACAAGAAAATGGGAGAATGGATGAATTCCATTGGTCCTTATAATATTTCATACTTTTCTTCATATCTGTTTTTAAAAACCAAAGATTAATAGTTATTATCATAACCATAATTAGTAAAAAAGTATTTAAAAAAATTTAAAACTTTCATTTTTTATGAAGATGAGTTATTGAATTGGTCTTTTTGATGATACCCAATAAAGGGTTTGGGAAGTAATTTAAAAAAATGGTCTCGTTGAATGAATATTCTGTATTTCCATTTATCTATTGATTAAATTAGGGTATTGGGTTTGGCACTTATATTTAAAATGGTTTTTGTAATTTTTTTTTTTTTTTTTTAAATTAAAAATAATTTACAGATAAGGTACTTGTTTTTATAATTATTATGATTAATTTAACAAATAGAAAAAAAATTAAAAAAAAATATTTTTCAAATAATAATGGTTTTATTAAAAGAAATTAAAATAAAAAAATAATTTAAAAATTTTCAAAATTTTTTTTTTAAAACATTAAAAAAAAAATAGGTGGCGGGATTTACCATTAAATTAGTTTATTTTTATTTATTAATAAAACAACAGGTTTATGATTTCAATTTTAAACAGTAATAAACTACTTATAAATTAATAAATGAAAACTTTTAACAGAAATAATAATAATGATACATATATAGCAAAAAATACTAATAATAATAATGTAACAATTTTTAATAAACTCTTTTCATTTATATTTAAGCTATTGAAAATAATAATATCCCTCTTATCTGCATTAATAACATCACTTTCAGTTGTTCATTTGGTCAAATTGATTACAATAAATAATGTTTTTAAAAATAATAGTTTAAATATACACACTGGTGTACCAACCACCAAAATGTTTGAAGATTTAGCCATAAATAGTATTTTAGTTTCAATATTTATTTTGCAACACAGTTTAATGGCATGCAAATTCTATAAATCATTTATTAGATCTTCAAGTTTTGCTCCATTAGAGAGATCAATATATAATTTAATTACCTCTATAGTTATCGAGGTAGGTATTAACTTTAATACTAATTATTTTAAAGAATTACAGAGTTTATTAATTAAAATTATTTATTTTTTCGTTGTTTAGGCGATGATAGAGAATTGGAGACATATAGATTTTTTAATTTGGAATATATCAGAATATAATTACATTATTTTACCAATCAAAAAATTTTTTATTTTGGTTATAATTATAGAATTTTTTTTATTTGATGTTTTCGAACTTTTGGGTATAGCACAGGTATTTTTAGATCATTATATTAGAATTTAAATTATTCAAAAACTAATATTTTATTATCATTACAGGTATATTGCGATTGTTTTAAAAATAAAGAGTACGAATTATCACCCCAAAGAAATTTTGATTTCTATACAATTTCAAGACACCCAAATATAGTATCACTTTTAGTATTGGTTTGGTTATCAAGTTCAAAAATGACATTGGATTTATTTTCTTTGTGCTTACTTTTCAGTTTATATCTTTTTAGTGGTAACTCATTAAGAAACAAAGACAGAAAAAAAATCAAATAAATAAATAAATAAATAAATAAATAAAAAAATAAATAATTAAATAAACAAACAAACAAGTATAAACTAAAATAGAGTAACAGTCAATCAATTAAATTAATTGATTGTAAATAAAGTTTATTATATTTATTTTTATTTTTATAAAATATCTTTTTTAGTTTCTTTTGTTTATTTTTAAATGATAGGGCTTTGGATATACTGTTAAACCAAATACCTCAGTTTGGTCAATTGTTTTCCCATCAAATGACTCAAATGTATAGTTTAAGACCATGTTGGAGCACGAACTCATAATCTCATCAATTGCGAGGAAATATGCTGGACAACCTCTAATACCTGCACTAAATGGTACTGATACTTTCATTAAATTATTAAAATATTTATCAGTGGATGGGCTTATATTGGTGTTATTATTATTGTTTGGTTCCAACCATCTTTCTGGTATATATTTTTCAGGATTCTCTACATATTTAGCTAAATTACTTAAACCATATAAATTTGGAATTATTTGAGTCTATATTAAATAAATATTTAATTGGTTAAAAAGATTTAAAACATCCTTTTAAATTTAAATATACATACCCCTTTTGGAACAAAATATCCACCAATCTCTGTATCCTCATTGTTAACTCTTGGAACTGAAAGTGGTGTGATTGGCATCATTCTAAGAACTTCTTTAATACAGGCATTAAGATAGGTTAGTTTTTTACAATGATCCAAGGTAATAAATTTACAATCTTCACCAGCAACTGATATCATTTCTTCATAAACTTTCTTTTGGATGTGTGGCTGCTCTACTATTTTTAATAAAAAGTATTGCATTGTGCTTTCAGATGTGTGACTTCCTCCTAATAAAAAGTCCATGGCTGTATGTACAACAAGTTTTTCATCTTTTCCATCAGTATCAATAATTAAAATATCCATTAAATCTTTTGGATTTTCATAATCTATGTTCTTTAAGTGATCAAAATAAATTTCTTTCATAAAGTCATATATTTCATCTATTGATACTTGTAAATTTTTTCTTTTAAGGAATAAAAATGGATATATAATACTTATAAAATCATCTAAATGACCTATACCCAATGTTTTAAATACTTTTAAAATTGGAACAATTAATCTTTTGGTTTGGTTTTCTACAGCAGCGATATCTTCATCAGTGCAAACATCTTTTGAAAAAAATAATCTTCCAATAACATTTAGGGTGAATTTACTGAGTAAAGCTTTTGGATAAAACTTTAGAAAATAAAATTATTTTATTAATTAAAATAAAAAATAAAAAAATAATAGTTATTTTACTTACAGGTATATTTTTTTCATTGTGTTCATTTAGGCTATTTATCAAGTGTCTAGTTTGATCTTCAATTAATCCACTAATTCTTGAAACTTTAGTTTTCGAAAAAGCACCAGCAACCAAGTTTCTAATTCTTCTCCATTCATTATCATTAGCCATTACTAACCCACGACCATTATATGACCACTGACTAAAAAATATTTTTGATTAACAAATACATTATTTTTAATATTAATTATAGCAAAATACATACTTAAATGAGTTTACACTTGGTCTATTTACAAAGATATTTCCTTTCTTAACCAATACTTCATTTATCATATCAACATCAGTTACTACAACAGTATAGATATCACCCATCCATAGTTTAAATATACCTTTATTAAACTTTTCTTCTAATTCCTTAAATGTTCTATGAGGACGGTCACCAATTTGAAGCAAATCACCCATTATTGGTAAAGAAACTTTAAATCCAGGAGGATCATTCTTTGAAAATTTTTTATTTTTTTTGATCTGTATAAAAAAAAAAATTAATAAACAAAAATAGTTTTAAATAATTTAATTTATATTTACCAAATCAAATATTGAATATAAAATAATACATAATATCAATACAAAAAGTATATTCATTTTTAACAGTTTATAAAAAATATAGTTAATGTAGGAAGAAAAATCATATTTTATATTTAAAATATTCTTCTCATGATAAATAAAAATTGTAAAATAAAATAAAAAAATAATTTTTAAAATTATTTATTACTAATACAGATATTTAGACAATAAAGAAAATCTTTAATTAAAAGGAAATTTTCTTTTAATTTAAAAAAAAAAATATTTAAAGATTTACCAAAACATCTAAAAAATAAAAACATGTTAATAATAAAGTTATTTCTTTAATATTTAATTTTTCCACACAATTTAAAATCTAAAATTACACCACACTACACATAATAAATATATTTATTTTACATATAAAAACAAAGAAAAGGTTTATTTGTTATTTATAAATTTGTTTTTATTTTATTTATTTTTTTATTTTTTTTATTTATTTTTTTTTATTTTTTATTTTTTACAGTACTCATCGGAGTATAATCTAATTTAATAATTGGTGCAATCTGAATTTCATTTGTGTTGTATGCTTCATAATATTGTTGATCTTTTACAATTTCTGTCAAATATTCTATTATAGATTGGTCATGTGTATTATTAATATCCCATCTTTTGAATAATGATTTTGGATCAGTCGGGTGCAACTGTAACTAACATTGGTTTGTCAAGGGTATGATATGGTGAAGAAGATGGTGATGATGGATTGGATGTTTTATTATTAAACATTAGCGGTGTTGTGTTTGCAGAGTTGGAGGTGACATTACGTATTGATGGTTGATTATTGTTAATATTGAAATGTGGTAAATTATATTTTATGTGTGACTCTGACATTGATCTTTGAGCTTTTAAAGTGGTTGGTGATTTTTTTTGTAAATTACCTGATCTTGAAAAGTGTCGTTGTGGTGATTGTTTAATATTAGGATTGTTGTTATTAGTGTTGTTATTGTTAGTATTATTATTATTATTATTATTATTATTATTATTATTATTATTGTTATTATTATTATTATTGTTATTGTTATTATTATTATTGTTATTATTATTGTTATTGTTATTATTAGCTTCATTTGGTAATGATGGTAGTAAAGATTCTGAAAGTGAGAGTAATGAGTTTGTATTGTTTTTGGTTTTAATAACATTATTTGAATTTAAAGTAGATCTTGGTGAATTAGAGTTGTTTGAATTTATGCTATTATTACCATTAGTTTTTTCACTATTTTTATCATTATTATTTTTACTATTAAATAATGAGGGAGATGATGGGTGTTGGGGTGACATGGCTGGAGAGGTAATTTGTAGACAACATAAATGATAATAATAAAAACTCTTTAGTACCAATTCATATAATTGATCTTGAATATGGGCAGTGTATATATTCTCTGTAAACCAATTCTTCTTTTGACCTAAAATATCATCAACTATACCTGGTTGAGAACTATAAAGAATGCCATGATACTCTTCGGTGTCTAAATCGATTCTTGATATATAATTTACTACATTAATTGGAATTAAAGGTGATTTGGATAATACCTTGGGCATACCAATAAGTTTTAATGATGAGAGATTTGAAAGAGAAAGTGGTGATGTTTTCCATGGGTCAAAAGCTTCTTTTCCATTCATTTGTTGACCTACAACAAAAATACTTAATGCATATGTCATCGAAATAATTAATCTATAATAAAAAATTGGTATTAGAATAGCTGTATAACTATATTTTGTAATAGTTTAAAAATATATAACTTACTGTTCCTTATCTTGAGAACCCAAAATAACCAACGGTCTTCCTTTTAATAAAGAATAGACAGCATGTCTTAACCAAGTATATTTGTTTAATATTTTTAATAAACCCCTTCCATAAATTAAATCTTTATTATTGCCCCAAAGATAATCTGAAAATGATTCGAATCTAATTGTACCGTTATTGTCATCACTTAATAATCCAGGTGGTGGATTTAAATTACCAAAGCTATTTTTAATATTATTGTTTCTTCCTTGGTTACTATAATTACTATTATTATTGCTATTACTATTACTATTATTCCTATTATTCATATTATTCATATTATTATTATTATTATTCAACATATGGTGAAGTGTTTCTACATTTTCAATTGGTAATAGACTATTGGTACTTGTACCAATTAATAGGGTTTCACTATTATCATTATTATTTGTATTGCTATTAACTAAAAGATTGCTAATATTCAAGTTCATATTTAAATTATTATTGTTGTTATTATTGTTATTATTGTTATTATTGTTATTATTGTTATTATTGTTATTATTGTTATTATTGTTATTATTGTTATCTGGATTAAACATTCTATCAATTACTACTGTTCTACTATTGAATGGATTAAAACTATTTTCAAAAAAGCTTCTTTCAAATTGATCGTTTCTGAATTAAAAAAAATAAATTAATATTCTATTAATTTAATTAATAGTTATGTAAATTGATACTTACAATGAATTTGAAGAATAGACAGATAAATATGAACTTGGATCTGATGAATATGAGCTTAACGAGTTGTGTTGTGACGATGTTTTATTAATACTCTTATTATGTGATTTGGCCTTATGTATATCTCTTAATTGTGATCTAAAATAATTACTTTTCTTTTCAGATTCAAAAGAAAAATTTAAAATTGATGTTTGACCAATTGATAGTAATGATGCTCTGGGATCTAAAAAATACAAAAAATTTATTAGAGCTTTAAAAAAATAATAAAATTAATAAATTAAACTTACTTAAAACTTGTGGATCTAAAATATCAAATTCCATTTGAAGTGGTGATCTTGAAAAATATTTGTATGATTGTTCTAATTTATGGAGGAATTTGTCAAAAACTTCTGGGCATAGTTCACTGATATGTCTAAGTGGCTTATCCAAATGAACAGTTTTGTTAATTGTATCTACAATCTTTGGCTCTGAATCTATTATAATATTATCTGAAAAAAATATTGTTCCTAAAGATGACTCCATATGGGGTGGTGTTGATAAAAACTTTTCCCTATAATTTGAGGATGATTGAATCTTTCTTTCTTGATCAAATAAAGTTTCAATTGAGGTTAACTCTTGTAATGCATCTTGAATTGCTGTTAAAATATCAAATTCTTCATAAATATCATCACCTGGTGTATTTTGATCGATTGGGGTTGTTGATGACAATGGTGGTTGATTGTTATTATCGTTATTGCTGTTATTTTCTTTATTATCGTTATTATTATCTTTTTGTTCCTGTTCTCTTTCCTTTTGATAGTGTTGATAAGTAAATTCTAAATCTTTTTGTTTTTGCCTATATTCTTTTTCAAATAGTACATGGTTCTTTGCTTTTAAAATCGATGTTAAATGATTAAATTGAGAAATAAACTTTTCAAAATACTTAATAATTTTGTGTGGATTTTTTGTAATATAACTTAATACACATGGTCTAACATAGCCTCTGGCATTAATATCAAATAATGAGAAATGATGTACCTAAATAATTAATGAATAGAGTTAATATTTATTTTCAATACAAATATTAATATTATTATTATCAATTGTTTTACTTACATAGGCATAGATTTCGCTTCTATGAGTAGATGGCAATGTAAAAAACATTTGTGAATCTTTTGTATAGGGTTTTCAAGTCATTTGTTTTATTTTGGAAATCTACAGACATTACTTTAACAACATACTTTGATAAATCGAAATCCAACATCCCAAAGTGAAATTGTTCTGGTATTAAATTAAGAGCTATAGGGCCTGCTTGTTCACTAAATTCTGATAATACAATAACAAATAAAAATTCGGTCCAAAAACAGGGTGGATAAGAAAAATTTTTGGGCTTATAAGTTT